GGGGGAAAATTCAAAAAAATAAAGTAAACTCATCCTTTCTCGGACCTAGCAGAATCTGGATACCAACTTGGGTTATTCTAGCTTTTATAGTTTCTGAGATCCGTGCATTCACCCAGACAAACGGACAGACGGACAGACAGACAGACGGACGGACATGTCTAGATCGATTGCTCTCGTCATGCTGATTCAGAATATATGTACTTTATGGGGTCGGAGATGCTTCCTTCTGCATGTTACATACTTTGCACAAACCTAATATACCCTTTTTACCCTACGGGTACAGGGTATAAGCATGTGTTTGTTCATTTAGTGCTTCACGTTATTATAAATCGGAAGATGCCTTTAAAAAAAACCATATTGAATTTCTGATTAGATTTTTCAAACATGATTGATTGGCCAAACATCATTCAAATTGTTGTAATTCATTCCTAAAACCAATGCTTTAATGGAAATTTAGCGCTTTGGCTTTTTTTTTTTTGATTCGCACATTGAATATAAATTTAAAGCTACAGAGCATTTGAAAAAATTACCTCTTTTAATTGGAAAAAAATGTAAGAGTCTGTTGTATAGCATGCTTCATCTTAGAAGTAAATACAGCTTCATTATGGTAACTGCTATCGATTGCTTTAATGGATAACAGCGCTCCTGTAATTGAATATTTTGCTAATCGATATTTGATATTTTAATAACTAAAATCGAAAACATTATTAGTTGAAAACAAACAAGAGATGGGATTTTAGTCTAGCAATACATTTAACAGTGAAACGTAAATAATAAATAATTAAGTAGCACCTATCGAAAACTGCAACTACACCATCAAGCTCAACTATTACATCAATCAGTAAAATGTTACAAATTTAATCTTTTAAAACTGAGTGCATACTGTGTGAGTGAGTTTTTAACATTTTACTTTCGCATTTACGTCAGTTGCTTAACATTTAATGAGCTGTCCGCGTCAAAGGCTTTATGTCTTTCGGTCGTAGTTACGCCCACTTACGGGTTGGAGGCAATGCATTAAGTTAAACCCCTGCCCGACATCGACTGAGCTGTAATTATGTGGGCACTCGAGCGTCTTTATTTTAAGCGCTCTTACATTTTATGACCCTCAATCATTGCATTTGCCTTGGAGTATGGTGCGCTATTTACCGTTTATCCGAAACTGGCCAGTAACTGCTCAGAGGAAATTCCTGCGAAAGGAGCACGCATTTTACGCCCGTTACGGCCCGCTCTGGCATAATATTGCCGGCAATTTCGATATACTTCATCGCTTTTAATGGCCACAATGTATCAGTTAATGATGAAAATGCAGCGGCATTGCACAATCACACAAATATACGCATTATAGTATACTATCCTATGTGACATCCTTTTGCAAATAAAGCTCCATATCAACAGAAGCATTTCGCTCATCAAGTCTTTTTCTTTTGCTGTTGTATCGCATTCGTACTCGTAAAGTTTTAAAGGCCCCAATAAACATGTCGAGGTAGTCAGGCAGTCAGGCTGCCAGCTATTCAAACAGCCACTTGTGCAACGCCTGCACATTTTCATTTTCATTTGAAATTTCCTCGACTTTTGGTGGGCGCCTTTGCCCGATGACCGCCTACGTGCAGAGGCACTCGTTCAAGCAAAGGCAATTCTCACTCTTCATATTGCCATTTTCGCATGACGTGCGTCTTGTCTCGTTGGGTTCGTGTTGAGCATAGCTGGATGGAGGATGCAATTTGTAAACGTTTCCTTAAAGGGCTCACACACTAGGCGGAGCTCTTGGCCATTGTTGTGGGTCGGGCATATTAAGCGATTGTTCATTGCCATTGTATTGGTGGTTTCGAAATAACAATGCCTGCTTGCTTTTTCTTTGTGGCATTTGCAATTTCATAATCTGGTATTGTTGGCCATACCCTGTCTAGCTGCGTGCCCACCAGCTCTTTAAATTGTGTTTTAAATCAAATCAACGGGCTATGTAATCCAATCTCGACCGGCGCAAACAACGCGCTTTTATTAAAAATACGAGCTTGCTTTGCGGCAAAGAGAAAATCAAATTTTAAAAATCAATAAAGGTAAAACAATGTTCGCAGCTAGCAAGGTATCTACAACCCACGGTTGTTCCCCATACTTAGGCTTCCAAGGTATACAAGTATAGCCAGTGGGCCACGACACTGTCAACAAATGTTGCCGTTGGTTGGCTTTTCCGCTTTGCTAAAAGGTTTCAGCTTTAAATTCAATATCGGCGCATTTGCCGTCGACTCTTGGGTTGCCGTACTCGTATCTGTTTATAATCAAATAATGAAACAACAGAAACACATTAGCGCCCAATTTGTCTTGTGCCAAGGCAAGCAAACAAAATTAAAAGCGTAAGCATAAACAAATTGTTTCGCAAGCTTCCTTTTAAATCTCTTAACGTGAGTGTTTTGTGCACCGTTCACCAGCTTTGTGTATTACAATCATCTATGAACTTTGTATGAATTTTGTTTAATGTTTGCAGCACAAAGAGGGAACCAATACAGAGCCCAGCCCTGTCAGACCAATATTTCTCCGTACTTATCCTCAATTATCAATAGGCGGTATTTAAATTATTTCAGGCGCAATTTGCTATTAAAATATTATTAAAACAAATGAATTTAGTTTACAACAGAGCAGCACTTGGCTTTGTATCAAAACAGTTAAGCCAATTTACATAAATTTCCTAATAAGAATTAATATTGAAATACATAGTAATGGAATACTAATTGTTAAATTTTGCTATTTGTTTCATCAAGTCTATTTAAATGTAAACAAAAAGCCGAATTGCTTAAAGTCCTTCTGCTACACTTCTAAATTTGTATGTGCCAGTTGAATTGTCAGGAGGAAGTAAGTCCCACAGAGAGCTGTAGAAATTAAAAGCGCAGTTCAATGTACATACCTAGGCCCGATCTTCCTCAACTTCGAGCAACCTACAGTTGATGGCCTCTGACTCGTAGAACAGTTCGAGAAAGTTCAACATGATGCCGTGAACCTTGCGCCATGACAACATTCACTTGCACCCACTTACATGCCCAAAGCATCCAAAAACCGAGCACAACATCTATGTACATACGAGTAGGTGTGTGTCTGTGTGAACATCGATATGTCGGCTTCTATGTGTTGGCTTTGATTGGTGCTGTAAATGTGCTTCAACAACATGGCAAAAATTTATTACATGCTGCAAATTATTTTGCCGCGTTCAACAGCCGAAGAGGAATGAACTTGTGCTGAGGCAAGTGTCAGAGGCACAGCCAACAAACCGCAGTGTTGGGAGTCATTGTAAAAATTTCCGTCGGGAGCCGGGGTCAGAGTTGATTGTATGCAGCGTGTGGCAAGCACGTAGAGGGCAAAAGCTAAAAGTATGCAACATCAAATGAATTGCTTGCCTGTCTGTTTCCTATCACTAGCCCATAACTGATTGGTCACTTGTGACCCTGTTCGGTTTGGTTCAGTACAGTTTGGTTCGCTGTGTTAATTTCGGTCACACCCATTGCAGTCAATGGCATCTGTGGCTCGTGCGGGGCCCTCAGGGGCCTTTGTGCACACACTTTAATAATGAGTAGTGGAGCGGCAGCTTAACAGTGTCTAGGTACATTAACCTTGACATGAATATGCGTGGCTAAAATGAGTTTGGCCTTAGTGTCGGTTTTATTGTTGCCTCTATTCTGCCCAGTATCCAAAGTAAGCCAAACAAAGCCAATGCAAAGTCAATGCTGCAATGAAATTGAATGTTGCTGCCCTCTAGCTTTTGTGTTTGTTTTCGAAAGCATGAAAATGCTTGTAAAGACGACTTATTTAATTAAAATTTCTGCAGCAAGAGTCAGCAAGGGTCAGAGCATGTCTTGAACTGTATACTAAGCTTAAAATATTTGAATATAGTGGATTGTAAGCTGTTTCAATTCGCCAATTTTGTGCTGTTCATTGATTTTCGAACTGTCAACTGCAGAGAGGATTTTCAAGATAAACATCCATTTTTGCATTAAACACACTTGTACGAGTTACCCCGTCGCTTCGGCATACATATTGCTTCAGTTGTTGATATGCAACAGATGTGTCAATAAAGAACAAAAATTGAAAATTGAAAATTGAAAACAATAATACAACTCAACAGAAAGCGAAAAGCGAAAAGTAAAACCACTTACGTGTCTTTCTCCCATTGAGTGCCAATAATATAGCACACTTTTCTGCGCAAGCACTGACGCTGTTGCTGCCACTTCTGCCACTACTGCCACTGCTGCTTCTGTTGCCGCTGCCATGAGTCTCTGCAGCTGCTACACAAGCGTGCTCAAACCCTCCACTGACACTTTAATGTCTTGTATTACACATGACGCACGCGACTCCTAATAGAATTTCACTCAACATTTAGCAGCGAGCTGGAACAGAAGAAAAAGCAGTTGTTGCATCGCAAAGGCCATCATCTACGTTACCATTAGAAACGTAGCTTCTCCTGTTGCCATAAACGGTCATATAAGTGCCATATAATGATGCAATTGTGCGCTAACATCATGTGATGTAAGCGCATCAATTGAGTGTTGCAGCGACAACTCAATTGCCTTTAATCATTTTTTCGTACCGTTGTATAATATGTTCAGCAGGCAGAGCTATTGAAGAACTTGCTTACAAAAGAACTTACTGTACTTACAGCATAAGAACTAACAATTTTACTCTGAAATACGTTAATACTCGTTAGGAGGGTGTCCAATTACTTTCAATTCAATTACAATTATTATTTCTATAAGCTGCTTTCAACCTCGCAAATGTAACATTAAGCTGGCAGAAATCGTTTATGAGCTGCAATTGTATCTTCTGTTGTAATTTAAAATTTAGTCGTAACTAACAAACTTGGACTGTTTTGTACTTTTTTCAATCTTATGATAACTTAATTACATTATTACAAAGTGGTTATAATACAAAAAATGTGGGCAATGTATTTTACGAAGCATTAAATCAGCATTCTTCAACATTCAACATTCTTTGATGTTTCTTTTATTTCTTTTCAGAGTTCGTGTGGAATACTACGTTAATGAAAACACATTTAAAGAAAGACTGCAACTCTATTTCATTAAGAATCAGCGATCAAGTGAGTTAAAAAGCTTAAAGTATTAAAGGTATTTCAATTCAATACACAAGCTTCATCATCTTTGGCATTTAAAGCTACATCGCTTGAGCAAAATTGACATTTGAAGTTACTTGGAAGAATTTGCTTTATTTATCAATTGTGTGTCTAGCAAATGGGCACCTTGGCCGAAATAAAATCAAAATATTGAACTTAATTGCAATAAGCAACAGACGTATTTAATCGAACTCCAAAGAGAACGAGGCAAGTGGTTAAATGCCATTCGGAAAATTGCTGGAGGCCAGACATACTCGTACTCGCTTGTACGTTTAGATTATTTGAAGTTTGGTAGGCCCGCACTAACAATTGATTAAAGAACTTGACCATAGCAAACAAAAACATCCACACGTACATACTATACGTCTACACACTTGTATAGATGCAAAGAAAACCAAACAAACAAAACGGACGCACAGAATGAACCGCAACCTGACCATAGAATGACATTACAAAGCGGACTCAATAATCTTAAGTAAATATTGATTTGCCAACGAAATAATTGTGCAGGTAAACAACTGATGGGTGGTGGGCTGTAGTTTGACGAAGGACGAGCTTGGAGTTGGGTCGTGAAAGAGCGCACGCCCACTCACACACACACACACATATGTAATAGATGTACAAATAAACTGACCCAATTTTCTTGTGTCACATTTTTCTTTACAAGGCTTACGCATACGAATTGCCGATTTATTCCTTAAGTTACTGTCGTGTGTTCTCTACATAATACGTGTGATATTGGATAAAAATCCAACATTTATAACATGGTAAGCGAGTCACAAGCTAAATACTTGTACTATGATTTATTGCTACGCCACTTTCACTTTCATGTCCATTACCAATACCCCATCCATTTCCAATCCCATTCAATCTTCATTTACGTACTAGCTACGGCTGCGAAGTGGCCAATAAAACAGAGTTTATACTCTCCGCCAAACTGACCGAGGAGGAGTTCCAGGAGAATCCAATTATCAACTGGGATGGCATTCTCTGGGTGAATCGACCCACAGTTCTGTGGGTTCTACAACTACTATTGGCCATGGTGTCGCTAACGCAATCTTTGGTTTTAACATATCTAGGCTATAAGGTGAGTTACGCCAATTAACATGATCAATGCATTTAATATCCAATTAATGATTTGTAGGGCAACATATGGCAGCAAATACTTTCATTTCACTTTATACTAGAATTAGTGACGACAATACCCTTTGCATTAACGGTGGGTATTATTTGAAAAAATATATCTGAGAACTCGCCATAACCATTCAAGTTATTTTTAGATTGTCCATCCTCCTCTGCGCAATCTCTTCATTCCTATATTTCTCAACTGCTGGCTGGCTAAGCGTTCGCTGGAGAACATGTTTGTAAGTTTCTTTGTTTTGATTCCCTTTAATGCTTTAAAAAATTAAATATTAAACTTGCTTGATAGAACGACCTGCATCGGGCTATGCAAAAATCGCAGTCGGCCTTGTCACAGCAGCTTACCATCCTGTCGGCCACTCTGCTGTGTCTGGTCTTCACCAGGTAGGAATCGGAAAGCGCTAATGTGCACTTGATGAAGCTAAAGTGGTTTTAATACGATATGCTTTCAGTGTTTGTGGCATTCAGCATTTTCAGCGTGCCGGCCATCGTCATTTGAATCTGTTCCAGAGCACCTACTATGTAGTCGTGACGTTCTCAACTGTCGGCTATGGCGATTTTGTACCAGACATTTGGCCATCACAGCTATATATGGTCATTATGATTTGTGTGGCGTTGATTGTGCTGCCCACTCAGGTGAGTAAACTGCATTTAATGGCTCTGGCCAGTTCGACATGTGTGCGGTTCGCATTAGCTGGAGAGAAAAATAGGCAATTATACAGAATAGTCCTTATCGCACAAACTTGCGATGGCAGTCACTAGCTCGGCAGCTTCAAACGCGTCTTACATATTTATATGTACTTGTATAAGTCAAAGGTAGACTTCAGCGAGCTGTTAAGTTGCTAACTTATGACTGGCATGTCAGTGAATGACCATCAATCAACATGGATCGGTCATTCATTCATTCATTGCAGCCTGCAGCAGCAATTGGCGGCCGAACAATCGGGATACCCCAATCCATATGAAATATGAAGAATAGCTGTCAGTCGCAATGTGTACTTTGTGTCAAGCAGCTATACTTGTATGTTTGCTCGCCTGCTTCTTTGTTTGCCTATTGTTGTTGTTGTTTTGTGCTTCTTGATTTTCATGCTCTACAAATGCGAATGGTTGTTTTTTGCTTTTTTTTTTATGAAAGAATTTGCCAAATGGCTAACAGTTAAAGTCCGGAGCCAATACAAATATTGCCAAAACAAGAGCATCAATCAGGCCTTTTTTTTGCCATGCTGCTGTTTGCCTTTTTGTACCATTTCTGAGCTCATAAAAAACCTCTTACATGTACATACATATGTACTTGTACGTACAATGGATGATTCATAGTTGCCAGCCAACGTTGAGCGGAAGTGAAGCACTTAAAATTTAATTGAATTATTAATGCAACAAATTGAAATTTCAATTAAATTAGTCAAACTGTCATACCGAAAGTGATATAAAAAGAGCGCACTTTAACAAAGGCAAAGTTTTTGTTTTTCGCATGCAATTTGATTAATATTTGACATTTTGCCGACACGCCCGCAGAGGCAAGTGTTGCAGTACTTTTTTGTAAAATCTGAAATGCCAGCAATCATAACTCTATTTCACGATTTGTTCATACTCTCTGACATTTCCGCAATTCAATTAACAATCACCACATTCGCATCCGCATCGGCGATGTAGTTTGAGCAATTGGCTTTTACTTGGATGGAGCGGCAGAAGCTAGGCGGCAGCTACTCTTCGCATCGGGCCCAGAGTGAGAAGCATGTGGTAGTTTGCTCCACAACATTGCATGCAGACACCATCATGGACTTCCTTAACGAGTTTTATGCGCATCCGCTGCTGCAAGACTTCTATGTGGTGCTGCTCAGTCCCATGGAGTTGGACACGACCATGCGCATGATACTTCAGGTCCCGATATGGGCGCAGCGAGTCATCTACATACAGGTAAGTGAGGCAGCAATTTTGACTTAAATCATTGGGAATTATTGGGCCATTAAAGTGGCCCAGCCTGCTGATTCAATCCAATTTGATTTCGTTTTGTACGCAAATCCATTGTCTCATTGGCATATACGCTTTGTAGGGCTCCTGTCTAAAGGATGGAGACTTGGCCCGTGCCCGCATGAACGAGGCCGAGGCCTGTTTTATTTTGGCCGCTCGAAATTATGCGGATAAAACGGCGGCCGACGAGCACACGATACTGCGCTCCTGGGCAGTCAAGGACTTTGCCCCCAACGTGCCTCAGTATGTCCAGATATTCAGGTGAGTTGGGCGCCAAGCGGTGCCGGGAATACGAAACTTGTCACGCTTCAATTAATGACATTTCGTTGCATTTTTTTTCACATCTCCTCCTCACTCTTTTTCCCGCACTTGCTCGGCGTGTGCAATCAACTATGCGTGCATCCCACCGTATATCCGCATATCCGCTCGACCAAACGGAAATCGCTGCAATCTCGCCAGGCCGGAACACAAGCTGCATGTGAAGTTCGCCGAGCATGTGGTCTGTGAGGATGAGTTCAAGTACGCCCTTCTGGCCAACAATTGCACCTGTCCCGGAGCCAGCACGCTGGTCACGCTCCTCCTCCATACCTCACGCGGCCAGTAAGTTAAAGCAGTCAGCCTTAAAGGCTAACAGTCATCATCACCCTCTCCTATAGCATATAAATAGGTATAACTATAAGTCTGAACACTACATAAAATGACGCGTTGTCACTTAACACGCCCACGCACACATACACACACACACACACACACACACACACCACACCACACAAACTATTGCTGCGCACAGCTAATTTATTTTATTTGCCGTGCAAATAATGCCACAAGGACACATTTGTCTAATGTTGCTGTCTGACAGGCGTAAATTAAAACGGCGCGCATTTCACTGCAAGAACAAGAGGGAGAGAGAGCTAGGGTGTAGAGATGGTACTGATACGAAGAAATTTAATATTTAAAATGATGTTCTTAAAGCAGAACTATGGAAGTATTTTTGAATTAAAGACCTTCGCCATGAAATCAGTGTTTTCCCAAAGGGCTATTTTTAAAGGAAAGAATCCTTTGTGTATATAACTTATTGCTCTTAATTGAAAATAAATCCATATATGCAACATTTTAAGTAAAGTTACAGAAATTCATAAAAATATGTAAGACTAACTAATTAGATTATCGAATTGAAGAAATTTATTCTTTTTCAAATACAACTTTATGAAGTAGTATCTATTTCGCAACCCACAATATTTGATAAACAAAATAAATCAAAATTAGTCGCTTACTTGTCAGGACGTAGCCTGGTCTTATCAGTCTTCTGATTAGAGTAGAACTAGCCAGACGTCTTTCTAATCAATTTTTACTATACAATCAAATGATCATTTTAGCTGCTAGCAATCAAAATTAAAATAAAAATATACAATTCCACTAACGATGCATACAGTATCAACTAAGAAGTGAAGACAATTTTCAGCTCAGTACTATGATTATCACGCGCTCATCTCTACCCCTGTATGCATGCATATATATTTTTCTGAGCTGCCACACCAATTTTCAATGAGAGTTTTAATTAAATTTACTGTACAAAAGTGCTGCAGAACTACGCAAAAGTGTCAAAAAAAACAACAAACCTACACATACAGAGAGACCATTCAACATAAAACTATTCACGCTTTATGTAAATAGACGTTGAACCGTCGTAAATATTACTCATCGCCGGGGCGTCTTTTCAAACCAATTAAATGCGGCATGAACTCCCTGCCGGTACAGTATTATAAAATTCTAATTAGAGTTTGCTCTGAACTTCATTATTCCTCGTATGTGTGTGTGTGTGTGAGTGCGTGTATGTGTTGGTGAATTAGCTCGTGCGAAACCACAAAACCAAACATTAATCATACACCATGTCTGAGGTGGGACGCAATAAATATTTTATTATGTGGTAAGCTGAAAATCTTCACAATTAAACATGTTGATGCACAGATGAAAGAGCGCTCAGTCATTTAAAAAAAAAAAAAAATGCTCACCCTTTCCGACATTATTTTTTAAACAGTACCCTTAGGCTCTTATTCTTAAATGCAACACTGAAAGTCAGTCGAGTAATGGCTGCCATTTACGCAGTTCTTGAATCTTTACACATTTTTAACCGTCTGCTCGAATGGTGACCGTTTGCAGGGAAGGCCAACAGTCCCCGGAGGAATGGCACCGTCTCTATGGCAAGTGCTCGGGCAATGAAATTTATCACATTGTGCTCGGCGACAGTCGTTTCTTTGGGGAGTACGAAGGAAAAAGTTTTACCTACGCCAGTTTTCATTCGCATCGCAAGTAAGTACGATAACTGAATAAAAACATTCTCTTTGGTTAACAAATTAATTTGAATACGAGCAAGCACGAACCTTAATATCTGAATGGCCAGAGCGTTTTTAAATGAATTCGCGGTGGGCAAGTAGATGTGAATACAGCTATTATTTATACACTCGCCTGGATCGGCCATTCAAATACAAATTTATGTAAAAAAGACAAACTAAAGTTTGTATTTTATCCGTGTGCATTTTTGGTGTGTTTTTCTTTTTTTTTTGAAAAAGGTACGGCGTGGCGTTGGTTGGCGTGCGACCGGCAGAGTTGCCCGAGTTTTATGAAGACACCATTTTGCTGAATCCAGGACCTCGACATATTATGAAGAAGGATGACACGTGCTATTACATGAGCATCACTAAGGAGGAGAACTCGGCGTTTGTTGTTAATCAAAACCAAGCTACAGACACGACGGCAGCCAGCAAGGATGGCGTCGGTGGCGGCATGGGCGGGGCCCTCGCAGGCGCCCCAAACAGTGGCACAGCAGCTGGTGGGTAGACCACTTCAAAACGTAGTCGTATCCTTGTGTGTATGTGTATAAGTGGATGAATGTGTGTTTGTGTGTGTGTGTGTGTGGGCACCGTTAGTTTTGGCTGCCAACCTGTCAAAAGAATTCACGAATTGCAAACACACGTATGAATGGTTTTGAATGCCCCTAAAATATATAACATAAAGCCATATCTCTAAGCGCAATATATTTACTCATATACTCTGTTTAGCAAGTTTGTTGCTCTTCATTTTGAGGCTGCTCTGACTTGTGTTCGTTTGATTCGATGATGAGAGAGAAAACAGTTTTTATTTGTAATCGTATTTTATTCTGATACAATTTTTGTTGCATTGCGTTTGTCAACTTGTCTGAATGAACACAAAATGCTTTCAATGTGTGTGCGCGTGTCCGTCTCTAAGTTTTGCGTTTCTGTTGCCTTACAAGTTTCATTAACGATTTTAATTTGGTCGACCACTTCAGTGTCAATGGCTTTTACTTTCCGTTATTCAATTTCAATTAATTTTGTGCTGAAATTTGATTACGTGCAAAAACCAAAGCTTCATTACGTTTGTAATCTTCCAAGCTCTCTTGCTCTCTTGCGCTTTGCCTCTAGACTTCTATCTATTTTATCTGAGCTCTTAAAAATTTAAGTTAACTTTAATAGCGTTAACAGCATTTATCTTTTTTATATTGTCTCTTAATATATTTATTAAAATGAACCAAACATAAACTTACCTTTTGGCTGAGTCTGAGTCTTATACAAGTACATTAATAGCATAAAGTTACTCATAGTTGGCACATATAGTATACCAGAAAAAGAAAACAGAAGACTTTTCTAATCATATTTTTAAACTATTATCTAGTAAAGTTAAGCGAACAATTTGAAAAATAACCAAACGCAAAAGCCCGGGTCTAACATGTATTTATACAGTGTTGCCAATTTCTAAGTGACACAATAAGCTGATTATAGATTAATAGGTGTACAATTTCAGTGAAAATGTACTTCAATAATTTTAATAATCCATCTAATCTTTCAAAAAATGCAGAACTTGCGTAAAATGGCGCCAAATTGGCAACACTGTCTAACAACCATAATGATTAGAATGAAATTTATGGCTCTCATCATAAAATAATAGCGGCTTTTAACAGCCGAAACAAATTAGAAAAACACAAATACAACTAGTTTAGTAAGGGAAGTACGACTTAGAGGGGTGATAGTGTCAGGCTTAGATTTAAGTGTAGATGTCACACTGTCTTTTGTCTACCTTCATACGTATATCAACCACCTACATACATACCTACATGAAAACTGCAAACTTACATATGGAAACACACTATCCTTATCCTTTTACATGCCCATGTGCTCGTACAATATATGCAATATATAACCGTGTATATGTATGTATGTGTAAATGTAGCCGATACAACATCAACAAGAACAACAATACAAGCAACTACAACAACAACAACTACTACTACAACAATAAGCACGACTTTCACATCATCAACATTATTATCAGCATCAACAACAACAACCGCCCTGAACATCGCGGCTATTGCACCAGTGCCGTCTGTTTGTGTACGTGTGCCCCACAGTCCCAGTTATGAGTCTGGCGCCGGCACGCCCTTGCCCTTTGCCGAGCGGGAGCGGCATCTCTTGCAACCGTATCCGCATATGCAAACATCTGACAGTGAACTAGCAACACTATTTGTGCGTGAGTGTGACACAAAATAACAAGAAAAGATCTAAACCCAAAGAAGACAAAAAAAAAAAACAAAAAAAAATCAAAGACTAAAAAAGAAATCAATACTCTTCTTTATCTTATGTTGGAAAATGAAGCAAAACAAAAATATGTCTTTTTACACACGTTTCGTTTAATTTTTGTGTACTCTTCTACTACTCCCTGAACCTATTTTTGCCTTTGCCTTGCATTCGCCTTTGCTCTTCCCCTTTGTACTTGTATTTATCACACATGCATATACATATTCCAGTTTATGCTTCATGCAGATTTGTTCCCTCAAAGCGATCGAGCTCAGCTTCAGCTCTCTTGCCTCACTCCTTGACACTCCTTACACATCTAGAACACACGCTCACACCTTCACAATGGGTGAACACACGCCTACACCCCATCCACCGCTGCGTCACCTCTTCCGTATTTTTTTTTTCACTAAACACACTATTGCTACAATTGCTATTTTTGCATTTGCTTCATTTTAAGTTGGCATCACATATACATACCCATATAGTACTGGTATGTGCACATATATGTATATACTTAGCTTATATATTGCTAGCTTTCTCCGCATGTTTCAAATTGCTGCTGTTCATTTTTTCGCAGATTGTGGTGCATGTGCATGTGCATGTGTGTATAGTGTATAGTGTCTGTTTTTTTCTCTTCGACAAACCATTACAAATAATGTACTTTAGGCCATCTGCTAGTTGCCCCCGGGGGTATGCAACAATTTATTGCGGCCAAGGATACGCACATATGCGTCGGTTAACTTTTCAAAGGTAGTGCCAAAAATTAGGCCAGACTTAACGCCAAAGTGTCATTAAGCAACAAATCATGGGCAAAGCCGCCTTGTCGGCAATACTTCATCGTGTAATGAGCAAGCGTAATTAAGCCCCAAAGCCTCGGCAAAACCAGAACTGTGTCTATTGCGTGTATGGCGAAAACAAATTCTCGCGATGTGGTACGGCGTAATCCAAGCTCATCTCAACATTTGCTACAATGTTTTTACACTTGGGCTTTAGCTACAGGAAAGTTAAACGATAAGCGAATGTTGCCAACCACTTTGCAACTTTTGCGATTGCATTCTGAAAGTCAGCAGACTTTTAATGAGTTTTGCAGGTTTGGCAGGTTTTGGCATTATCCGAATTACCCCTTCAGCTGCACGGCTGCAGTGCAGTCATTTAACTTCGACTTTGCTTACATGTACTCCCCCCGCCCCCCCTTTGTTATTTCTCTCTCTCACTCTGTATCTATTTATCAATGTCTCTATGTATATATGTCTTCCTGTGTTTGTGTCGCTGCTTCTGTCACATCTGTTGTTTATCTCAAATTAGTGTTTGTATAGCAAACGAAAACTTTATTTAAGTAGCGCCCAATAGAAAGTTGTAAGAAATCCGTATGCAATCCAAATGAAATGAAATGCTTTCAACTCACTATGCATAAATACATAAAATATGTATTTGTATTTATTGTTTGCTGTCAATTCCATAACTGTGCAGCCAGCGATAACCCAACAGCTGTGATAATATCGGACTCAAAGCAAAATCTAAAGGATACGACTGTTAGCACAACGCACTTGACGACGGGCGCTGCCGCAACAGCAGCAACAACAACGACCACAATTACAACAACAGCCCTGCCGACCACATTGGGAGTAGGTGGTGGCAGTGGCACCACCGGAGGCGGACTTGGTGCCGGCCTCAACATCGGCACAAGCCTGAGCGTGACACCTGCGACACTAACAACAACCGGCAATCACTTGGATGTACCATTTGGCAACAATCCCAACCTCCTCAGTCCTGATGTGCACAATCAGCGTAGAGGTAGGCAATTTTAATATAATATATCACTAGACTATATCTGTCTTCATTTGGGATTGTCTTTATTTTAAACAAAATCGACAACCCACAACTTTCTGAAATATTTATATTTATTATTTATTTATATTTATATTTAGTTTTATACAAATGATATGAAATTGTTTAAGAATTGAGAGCAACCTAATGGTTTGCTGGCATTTCATTTCTAGTACATCTGCTGATCTCTTATCGAAAACAACAATTTTGTGCAATTTCAGGTAGTCGTAGGCCTTCGATACTGCCGGTCCCCGATATGTTTACCTCCTCATCGTTCAGCATATCGGGCAATGACGATGGCGAGGAAGGCGATGAAAGTGACGACGAAATTGATGATGAAATGCCTTGGCGATCACCTTCGGAGAAAATTGCGTAAGTTTAAATCTATTTTATCAAAAGGTTTGATTACGAGTATAAGTTACATCAAATGTTGAGGACAAGGCACAATTTCGTTTTAAAATATTCACAAATCTATAACTGTATTGTGTATACCCACCACAACTCCCTCAGTGTTCTCCACATATTTTTTACTGCTGTCCCCTAGTTGAATTCTAGATTATGTGTGTGTGTCTAAATGTACATAACTATGCTAGATAGCTGTCCAATTTGATATTCTTCAACATGTACGTGTATATAGCTTGCTCCCCAGCTAGTCTGTATAATATTTATAAATGTTGCGTCAGCCCAAATGTGTTACACCCCCACTGGAACATACAAGTATGGTCGATTGCCCTTGATAGATAGCACTCTTTTAGCATAAATTGAAGAAAGAAAAACTGACTCTCGAACTATGTGCAGTTGCTTGGGCGGGCATTTTCCCCAATCGCGCACCTATTCGCTCATCATGAGCTCTTCGGAGGACTCCTCGAACCAACGCGGGTGCGCCTACTGCAGCGCTCCGCCGCCAGCTCGCCAGGGTCGCATCATGAAGAAGAGCTACAGTTGTGACAGCGAGTGTGCCCCAAACCCGGCAGGCCAGCGCATGTCTAGCTGCGCATTGCTTGCGCGCCGGCGTCAGGAGCTGCAGCGCTGCTGCTCCTGTTCCTGCTCCGCCAGCACAACAACCACAACGACCACACACGTGACGGCTGCTGCCTCCGTGGCCGCTGCTGCGGCGGCATTCACTTCGAGCAGTTCCGTGGAGACACGTCGCTTGGCTCGCCCCGTTTGGGCCTCCGACTACTCTGGGTAAGTTTCAAAGCGCGTCCTCAGCTGCGAATACTCATATTGTGCAAACATAAATAAAGTGGGCCATAGCTTCGACTGTTATTTGGAACGTTCTATTGTTGAACTATGGCCCTTGTTGTTACGACTGCTGTTGCTGCTACATTTTGCTGCTTATGTATTCCGCTTGCTTTTGACAATGACAATGGACACACGTTTGCCAAACAGAAAGCAGCCAGAGTGCACAGGACGAACTAAAAAAAAACTGCCGTGGGGCGTCTTATAATGACTCGGATGCGGTATGCATTCCAGCAAACGGTAAACGGTGTAAGGATAACTTGACTGATGAGCGGCGAGACGCAGCTTGACGGAGGACTGTGGCAGCTACTTGAGATTTGCTGATGTTGTTGTTATTGTTGTCTTTACTTGGTTGGTGTTCTTCTTCTACATCTTCTTTGCCTTGAATTCCTTTTTGTTTTTTGCTTGCTGAGTTCACATAAGTTATTCTGCCCTTCCAACTATAATGGGGCTTTAAACTTTAACATGAAATATATTTATGTAAATGTCTGTCCGACCGTCTATTTCCGTGTAGGAAATAAACACTCAAAGAAACAAAAATTACCAACAAGGTGTTTCTTTTATTTTATAACTTATTCTATAATAATAATTTGTCACTTAAATCAAAATAAAGGTGTATCAATTAGGTAGGTTATAATAAAATTATCATTTTATATGTAATTACTTGATATTAAAACCTTGTAGTTAATCAAAACAGTGTATAAACATAAAGAGCTATGACGATTGAATTGGTTTATTAGTTAAGCAGCGTTTCATTTCAAAAATCTTGAAGAAACTATCATACTAGTATATTTCTATGACAAAGGGTGAAAAATTTAGTTTTTGGTCGAAACAAGCTTGTGAACATAATTCAAATGCAGTAAATATATTTTTAAATATTTAACTCTGCTCTCAGCAGAGACATTATTTAAACAGTGTTCGGTTCAGCAATACTGCGAGCTGAAAAGCACAAATTAATTGCAAGGGAAATAAAAAAAATGTATTGTTGCTTCTTCTATATAACTGCTATAAGTATTTAAAATACCTTGGAAATATTGTTGCATTTTAATGTCGCTGATGTTTAAAGCTGGCCAAGAGGTAACTTGGCCCTTAATTACAATCAATTGTGTAGTTAGTGCGGTTCTTGAAAAATCAAACTATTTTCCTGTGACTGAATGCTGGGCAATACGTTTATTTTTTGAAATCTGACTGTATGTTGTAAATTTATTGAATGCATGAAATTTCGAGAATTTATTACTTGTAGTTTGATATTTCATATGTTAATTGATTGCTTGGTTTAAACTAACTGTGTCCATTTTAATTGTACATATTTAAAAGTTGGTACAATCGAGATCATTATTACATAAGTAATGTTCAACTTACTAAACTCATACTATAATCGCCTTATTAAGACGTCCAAATGAAAGGACTGCACTCTACGTTATCACATTAATTACATTTTGCATGGGCAATTAATATTCGGTGAGCCGAAGATAACGTGTTATGTTGTTCTAAAAATAAGTCTGTTTGTCGAAACTGCATAGTCGTACGTCCTCCCTACCATTCCCAATTCCTGGCTTGCTCGTAGACATAGCTAAGTAATATCTCTTAAACTCTTTGTTTTGCATTAAGCTTACCCCACACTGCTTTGACCCGCTTTTCACTAATTGACCAGCTCACAACTCAAAACAGACAGCTGAACCCAAAGGGTGCTCATGTAACAAATTTTACTTTGCAGCATCGTCAAGGGTTTCCCCCCGGTTTCACCATTCATTGGCGTTAGTCCGACGCTCTGCTTTTTGCTCAAAGAGAAAAAGCCCCTGTGCTGTCTTCAGTTGGCTCAGGTAAGTGTAAAGTGATATGGCATCAGTTGGCCTATCGACTAAGACACATAATAACATAAAATAATGGTTGCTCCTTGCAGGTGTGCGAGCACTGCAGCTATCGCAATGCCAAGGAGTATCAGTGGCAGAACAAGACCATCATTCTCGCCGCCGACTATGCATCGAATGGCATATACAACTTTATCATACCGCTGCGTGCACATTTCCGATCGAAGACATCGCTCAATCCTATCATATTGCTGCTAGAGCGTCGGCCAGACGTGGCCTTTCTGGATGCACTATCCTACTTCCCATTGGTAAGTCTATCAACGGTTGCAGGAGATGTCAGTTCACATAAACATTTGCTTGTAGGTCTACTGGATGCTTGGATCCATCGATTGCCTCGACGATCTCTTGCGAGCGGGAATAACTCTGGCCGAAAGCGTTGTGGTGGTCAACAAAGAGCTCTCCAATTCGGCAGAAGAGGATTCGCTGTCCGACTGTAATACTATAGTGGCAGTCCAAAACATGTTCAAGTAAGTTGAACTGCATATCCAGATAATATTGCTCTCTTACGCCCCGAGGTCCTACAGATTCTTTCCGAGCATCAAGAGCATTACGGAGTTATCGCAGAGCTCCAACATGCGGTTCATGCAGTTCCGAGCCCATGACAAATACGCATTACACCTCAGCAAAATGGAGAAGGTGAGTCCGGTAATTTCCCATTATACCTTTTTAAAATTTTCATTTGCTTTTTGTTCCACGAGTATTTAAATCGTCATATATATCTAATATCTAATAGCAATTATTTTGCGGAATTGTAATATGGTCTGCAATATGTTCAAAAATAAAATATTATACATATGTAAGATAATAAAAATAACAGTGTTGATTGCTCCAACGTTGTACTATTTAGTGTAATGCCAGAGTTAATTTGATATCACAAGACTCAGTATTCAGTTTAGTATCCCCATTGCGTAGGATACTGGATAGGATATATGATCACCAAGTGAACCAATATTTATGTTTTTAAGTATTGCCTATTAAATTTCTGTTTCCGTTGGGGAGTTTATGAACTAATGGATTGCTTAAATTTGTTTGCCGATTTCAGCGTGAGAAAGAGCGAGGATCGCATATCTCGTACATGTTTCGACTGCCATTTGCTGCCGGAGCTGTCTTCAGTGCCTCCATGCTGGACACGCTGCTGTATCAGGCTTTTGTGAAGGACTATGTCATAACCTTTGTGCGACTGCTATTGGGTATAGATCAGGCTCCCGGCAGTGGCTTTTTGACATCGGTAAGTGGCGTTGTTGATGTAACAGAGTTCCCATCCAATAACGCTTCCTGCTGCCTGTTTGAAATGTTTCAACAGATGCGCATTACAAAGGACGACATGTGGATACGCACGTACGGCCGGCTGTACCAGAAACTTTGTTCGACCACTTGCGAAATACCAATTGGCATTTATCGCACACAGGATACCTCGAATGCGGACACATCACATGTGAGTAGCTCGCCAGTTGAGAGATGGGGACCATTCTCGGCATTCAGCAGGCATTGTGTGCGATTGCGTCCATCGGTGAGTCCAAAGCAAATGCATCTGAGTTTACTTTCTACGCAACGTTAGGCTCTGTGCTCAAGCTAAGACTTTGCATTCAGATCAAGCATTTGATACTTTCGTGAGGAATGTGCAAGTGAAGAGCTACATTACTCCTACACTACATAGTTTTGTTCCGTCAAGCGTCAAACTACTAATACAACACAATTTTTAAGTCTCTAACACAAACACACACTCATAAATCCACTCTAACATTTATATACAATAGTACTTAAATAAGTTCTCCTACTCTTGTCTCTTGCTCACAAAATGCAGTAATGAAAACATACTATAATCAATATCTTACAAACGCTCACACTTTATTTACGACGCGTTACAATTAGGTACAACACTTATCGAAACTTCTTTCTTCACTCCTGAGTTGCGAGTTTATTTTATGGTTTTTTTAAGTTTTAACAAAAAACGTCTTCGCCATGGGGAGGAAGGGGGTCACGAAGAGCGCGAGAAATTAAAACACCTGTTTAAACTTTATTATTGTGTTTGTTTGTTTCCTATTTGGATTTTTAGTTAAGTTTATTTGAAAATCACACGCTTTCGCTTTGATACTAACCGCATTTGAAAAGGTCTCTCTTTGAATTGCAAGAAAACAAAAACTAATAAAATTATATAAAAAGAGGCTGTGCAATATTTTTACTTAATTTGCATATTGTAATAATTATAATAATAATAAAGTAAGATATGTATACCATCAATATATCTAAATACTCTTTTTCAACTACTTGAAAGGTTTCCATTTAACGTAAATCTTAAAGGCTTCTTTTAATAACCACAAATATAGATTTTCTCCAACTTCTATACATACATATTCTTATTATGCTTAGTCGAATTATATGCATATATACATCTAAATATATATAAACAATACGTTTCCCAAAAGCCTAGCGTGCTGATTAAACATCGAGAATTGCCAAATTGATTTTGTACATACTGGAAAGTAGTGATTTTTTCCTTTATCGATGGCCACTCTGAACTTGCAATTTGTCCCCGTCAACATTTGCATTAGCTCTGTACTTTTGCATAATTACTTTTTTCGTACATATTCACGTCATGAGCACTCATTCAAAACTGTGGCCACAATAAACGCAAAAGAACATAACAAATCAAGAAAACAAAAACAACAGTACAGTAATGTTATTAGTCAGACGATGAACTTGTGTGAGCCTAAGCAGATAATATGTGTAGATATTACTCAGACGACGCGTTTGACACAATGTGGATCAGACTAAGAAAGTAGAGAAAAGAATTTAAACTAATTAATTTGCGTTTGTATTGGACTTGACCAGCAATTGAAAACGCACACGCACGCAGTGAGTCCCAACATATTCATCTATATATTTGTTTAAACTTTGAAAGTTCAACTGTGAAACAAAAACAAACTTAAAATAATGCCAAAATCAACTAGTACATGTTTTAAAATCCAAACGTTATTAAACGAAAACAATACTCTTACTCGTACTCATACAATCTCATGTGCTTGCTCATTAGTCTTAGCCCCATTCTTCTTCTGTTAACTGCGTCTGTTTCGTATTGTCGTTTTTAAAGTACTTGTAGTTTGTGCCAACACACTGATTCATGCTCACATATAAGTGATTTTAAATAAATGCATGTCTCCCTGCTTATTTGTTTGTTTGTGTTGGTGTGTCCTTAGGGCCAGAGGCGCGCTACGCTTTTGGAACACCAAACACCAAACTCGCATGCGCGTGCAAGTGTCGGCATGCCATCACTTTTTGTTTTTTTGCATGCAAGTTTAATTAGTTGATTGCATTTACTTGTTCTGTTTCCGGGAAAAGGATATTATTAACAGGCCAATGCAGATGACCAGGCCAGCATTTTTTTTCTCCACTTCGGCTAAGTTGTCTCTCACATCCTAGACATATAAATATCTACTGCTTTGCCTTAAAACTTTTTGTGCCGCACTGTTTTTTTGCATTTTCTTTGCAACGCCTTTGCCACTGAATGCTAATTAAATAGCCTGCTGTGAAGATTCTCAGAAATAGTGATTGAATGACAAGGGATAAGAAAAAAGGGTCAGGAGGAATTAAATGCTGCTACTTAAAGACAGACTACAGTTGTACCCAGAAAATGCTTTTATAAATCGGTGTGCCTCATTAACACATAGAGCTGAAGGTCCATACTACAAGTATATAGATTTTCTCTATTGCACGAACAATTCCTCCTAGGAATTATAATGCGCCCTCTGGGACTCACTAATGTTCATAATAATACTGTTCATAATAGTACTGAGCTGGGTATAGTTTGGGGCTCTTTAAAAGCATTGACTTCTTTTTTTTATTTTTTTGTAATTTTTAGTTTTTTATATTTTATGTATTGCATTGTGAAATTATAATTTTGTTTATTAAATTTGCAAATCCCGTTTTTTTATAATTTCAAAATGCATATATCAGTTTTGTGGATTGTGTCTAATACTTTAAACACTGGTAAAAAGGATTACATTTCTCTCATATGGAAAAGTAAAAGTAGACCAAACAATTGAATGTCATTGGTGTTAGTAACAGTTTTGTAGTTGATTGTGTATACGATTAAGTTTGCCTCGGTAGATAAAATCTTTTGTGGATGGGAAGACGTAATGCACGGATTGAAGTTTCTTGCAATGTTCTAAATGCTTAAGCCCGCCTGCAATGCACCTGCCAAAGTACATATATTATTTTCCTTTTGAGTTGAGCTAATTCAAACAATTATGGCTATATGTATTTATCATTGTTTACCAAAAGAGCGATCTACACATACTATACTACAGTAATCGACCATTATATGTTTCGGCTTTTAGTTTGGTGTTCAACGCATGTCTACACATTTCTAAATGTTACATTGTTAATTGGCCACACAAATATTGTGAAGCAAAACAAAATCGCAAACATACATAAGTTCTTAAATAAACATCCACAAGAGCAATTAGACATTTCAATTAAAAATCAATTAAAAATGGAAATCATTTTGTGTTTAATCGAAATTCACCCAAATTTGCATACAACCACGAATACAACAAACCAAAAACCAACCAACCAACCACAACCACACACAGTACGACGAGGAAACTGGCACGCCCGACTCGGCAAAGGACAGCACGGAAATGCTGCGAGGTGTTACCTATCGGCCGCCCTCAGCAGGTGGCGTCATGAGCCCTGATGGCGGTAGTGGTATTGGTGGCGGTGCTGGTGGTGGTGGTGGTGGTGGTGGCGTGGGCAGCAGTCGCCGGCAACGCCGAAAGTCCGTCAACTGTTTGGGTGGTTGCTCGGAGCGCAAGGGATCATCAGTAAGTAACAAGTCAAATTCATTTCATTATCTCATATGCTGTGACTAATCGAATCTAAATCGAATCTGTATGAGCCTAATTACAAAGTTTCCACTCGATGGCCAAACTTGGCAGCTAAGTTTGTTCTAAGCCATCGTTGGCCCATCACAGGAACGTGAATCCAAGCCCCACTCTAATGTGTGTGTGTGTGTAAGTCTGTGAGTGCGCTCAGGTAGGTAGGCTCGGCCATTTCCTTTTGTGTTAAACGCTTTGCAGCATGCTCTTGAGGAACGTAGCATGCTGTCTGCCGTAGCGAACAGATAAATTAAAAAAGGCCTTGAGCTCGTCTCATGTAACCTCACACATACACATGTACATCTCAACATGCTAGCACACACGTACACAGCAGCAAAAAAAAGGCGAATTATTTTGTCAATTTAGCCAAATTTAGTGCTAACAATGTGCCCATTGCATTTGCAGTACTCAATCAATTTGGCGGACGAGGCGCGCGACAATCACGCTCAGCAAATCGAAAGGGCCGAAATTGCCAATCTGGTGCGCAGTCGGATGGAGTCGTTGAATTTGCCAACCGTGGATTATGACGATGTCAGCGAGAAACGCAATCACCTCTCCTATGTGATAATTAATCCGAGCTGTGATCTCAAGCTGGAGGAGGGTGATCTGATGTAAGTACGAATATAGGCGAGGAAACCAGCAGACGCATAATGTTCAACCACTGCTCTGTATTTTCTATTCTCTCCCTCTCTGCTCAATCCACAGCTATCTGGTTCGTCCGTCGCCGTTTTCGGCACAGAAAACCTTCGAGCGTCACAATTCGCGTCGCAAATCGAACATCTCGTTTTGCTCAAATATCAATTTGGGTGCCACATGCGGCCCCCAAATGCCAACAATGCCAAACGCCGCCGTCGGTGCGGGTTCGCGTCGGGGTTCCGGCATTGCCGGCTTGAACCCCATGCAAATGCAGAGCGTTCAGACGTTGGCCGGGTATGGATCGCAGCGCTGTACCCCGCCGATACAGCAAATTAAATCGAATTCTCTTTCTCTACCCGACAGCCCGACGGTGGTTGGCTCACAGCGCGGCAGGAGTAACTCATTGCGGGTTGGCTATTATTCTCTATCACACACACCTGTTCCCCTTTCATTTTTCTTTACATTCTCTTTCGCTCTCTGTGCTTGTTCGATTTCATTTTCAATTCGTTGCGTTTCTTTTTCACACTCACACCAAATTACTATAAACAAGTTCGGTTTGCCTGTGTTTGCATTGATTTTGGGCACAACTGTACCATTCTACCATTTTTTAAACTTGCAAACATACACACATACTAAGTACAAGTATGTATGTACATGTATGTTACCATGGACCGTCGTCTGTGGGTTTGATGTATTCCCGAATATGGCGCAGAATTGCCACGATACTATAATCTCGCATGCTAAACGGCAACTCTGCGCTCAGATTCGCTGTGCATCACAGCGCACCGGACAGTTCCATTCCTATCCCACCTACAATTATTTGTAATTGTAATTGGCTGACAAATTCAGATCCTACAGTCAAACTAATTATGATTCTATATATTCGACAAGAACGACTGTGCATTTCCGCCATAGATCTTATAATTGTTTTAGAATAGTTTGACTGTAGACTTAACACTTCGCCAGCAGCACACACACAATTATACGTAGGCACTATCACACAAAGACACACACACACATGCATATACACATATAGTATATAGACAAGCATCAAAATTGTTGTTCAGTTTAAATTCTTCAAATGCTTGAAAATCCATTCACGAAATCGCATTCGAAGCCGCAGCTACAACAATCAGAGTCAAACCAACTACAACAGTAGCTACAATAACAACAACAAGCACAGGCATTGCAACAGGCACAGGCACAGGCACAGGCACAAGTTCAACGATTACAACAACTTCAAGCAACTTGAATCAATACCCAACACCCATAACCAAAGCACGTGCGAAGCGGATAAATCACGTCCCGTTTCCGTGAGCGCTGCACTCGCACCGATTCGCCATTCGTACGGACCGAAGGCGCTAACACTGTGCATCTTCAAGTCTTAATGTGTTACTTTTAAATATTATATAGTGTATATTGATTGCATATCGTAAAATTTTTTATAACGCTTTTTGATTTATTTTTTGTTGGCACGCCAAAAAAAATCAGTTCTAGTAACAAACTAATTGCCACCATTTGTGTGCGCCCGACTTTTGTAAATGTTTTCAGATCGATAACGACATTTTGCTGCGTCGTTCCTCCTCGTTGCGGCAGGGCCTGCCCAACGTCGGTGTCAGCCACGGGCGGCGCAAATCCTCGCTCGAGGAGATCGGCATTAGTCACTTTACAACGTTAATGCAGGCAACGAATCACAGCAATCCCATCAAGATATCGCTTAACGGCAGCATTGGTCTTGAGGTACGTCCTGCTAGTTGTTGATCCATACGCCCTAATAATCACAGCTATAAACACACGCATACACATACACAAACACATTCAATTTGGCACGAAATAGAATCAAATTTCATTGCAGGTCACGCCCCCGGAGGAGCCAACCCCTATGCTGGGGGTGCCATGCATGTTGGGGAGCGGCGCTGGCGGTGGCATCAATCCCTCGACGTTGGGCAGCTCCGGCGGCATGCTAGGCTCTTCACTGGCCATCAACACTGCTGATTTGGGCGGACCGAGCACTTCGTCAGCCTCACTACAGGCTCAGGACTCGCTGCCCCAGTCCTCCCAGGTGCAGTCCCCGCAGCATTTGCAGGGCACGATTGTATGATACAACCTCATGTGGGGTCGCCGACTCCGCTCATCGATGTCGAAAAACAAATGGATATAGAATACGGCCAGCACCCACAGACGCAAGGATAAGTTTTAAAGTCCCCAAATCATACACAAACCCACCCTCCATAAAGCTATCCGCAGAATTGTCTGTGTGGTGTGGGCCTCGGCTAACATTGAAGAGCAAAAAGTGTTGCCTACTCGCAGGCGCTCACTTGTAAATAATTACTACATAGGCTACTCAAGCAAATATTTTGATTGATAAATGAATAAATGTTCACACGAATTGGCAACTAGGAGAAGAAACCTAAGTTAAGCATTCAATATAATTATAGTGATTAATAAAAGAAAGATTATGCTTTTTGCAGTATTTAATTGAGATGTGCTTATCGTTTGAATTCAAAATGCCTATTAGAGCAATAAATTTTATGCAAAATTCTGTCTGCTTTATTCAAATGAGGCAAATGTGTTTTGGGAACAACAATGTAGTTAAACTATGGAATGAATGCGGCGTATACCCAAAAATGTGTAGTGGGGAATAACCATAAGTTAGCTGTATATATGGGGCATGATGAGAGATATTGGTCATAGTGCATACAAACTAGTACTCATGGTTAAAAAGTGCGTTAGATGCTATGTGTATGTGTCCTAGACTTAAGCGAATTATTTATACCATACCATGTAGCATAGTTTTTGCGAATTCATAGTAGAATAAAGCTCTTGTGTCGGACCTTTGCACAATTCCACAATTTGTTGTGGCTTAAACAAAATTGATAGGGAGGGATTGCACATTTCACATTGGTTTTCTAAAGTCTCTTAAAACGACGTACACTTAAGTCTTCATTCTAATCATGCCATCAGCATTTCAGTTTATGGTTATTAAACTAATTTTATAATGAACCCAACATATTTCATTGAAGGTGCTATTAATGTTTTGTACTATACACCAAAAACCACAACACAAGTTGAATTTATCAAAGAATAAAATTACATAAACATATTTTTATGATAATCTATGAAACATTTTGAATGAGCGTATAAAAAAACGAATACATTTTCATAGATTGCGAAGGGCTTTGGTATACTCTAATGCTTTACAAGACAAACTAATTTAGATAATTGTACTAGTATATAACTATGTGTATGTAAATACATTTGATGTATGTATGTATATGGGAATGTATATGTTTCAGAGATAAGTATTCAATGAACTGTTTAAAACTATGAAAACGCAAAACAACAGAATTTTATATTAGAAATGACACTAACAATTACTAGCTCCATATATAGTATATACTCGTAAGTCGATGGAGTGAGCGAAATAGTTTAGCTGCTCAAAGCATGCGAACTGCTGCTAATTAATTGTATTATAATATATGTACTTATTTATAAGCCCTACATCTAATGAATATCATACGTCTATCTATGCTGTATCGACTAACTGTCGGCCAACTGTACCAAATTCAATGAGCTATACCCGTAAAAAGTACATAAAAATAATCAGCATCAAATTGCTAGAACATAGTAATAAAACTAAGAAAGATATACATATATATTTCATCAGTCATGGATTGCAGGAAAACCAATGCTTTGCAGCTGAATTCAATTTGATAAACTTAAAGGCCTAAAACTGAAACTGCAATCCGCGGCAGGTGGAAGTGGGCGTGAAATTGTATATATAATTAGAAACAGATAAATTGCATTTGAAAAAGTTACTAACTTAGGCCGGGCTGTTCTGTCAATAAGCATTAGAAATTTAGCAAGTCTAGTCTCTAAATATAGAGAGCCACATAGAAAATAGTCTGTAAGCATTTGCACCTTCATTAGTTAGCACCAGACACGACTCAAAATCAATGAAGTTTATTTAAACACGTACATACCTGTGTCTACCGATAGAAAATATTGTAGCTAAAGCATATGACGTACCTACCATAAAACACATACATATTCACACAACAACAAACAAAAAGTGCACACAGATCTATAAGCGAATTTTACTCAACGATGAAGATGAAATATGAAATGCATTCCAGTGTCTCAAAACCTTATATTGGGCATGCAAGCTTAAGGACACACACAATTGGATGTGTGCCGTTTTGTATGCCCAATTAGATAAGATTAAATATGTACTCGTATACTCGTATGCATAACATACTCGTACATACAAGTATATGTAACTAAATATATGAAAGTATAGCTGTAGCTACAGTCGGCACATCAATAGTAATAGCAAATAGTATACACCTGTGAATCTGGTCTCAATGTACAAAACAAAAACCCAAACTTGTCAGGCCGCAAAAGCCAATTGTATACGGGATGTATAATACGAGAGAAGGACACATGTGCTGGCAAGTCCTTAGGAGGCATCCCAGTATTTAACTAAATAATAAACAAAACTATTGTGTATGTATATGGTTAGCTCATAGACTTGCTGTAATACCTATCTATGCTATTTAAAGCATAGCTGAAATTCACACAATAAATTCAAATATAGCAAGACAGCATACGTGTCTGTATATACTTAGTATTTTTTGATTTAAAGCCATATTGATGATACTCATTTACTTTTAGTTAGCTTTAGTTGAGAACTTTTACAAAAATGGCACAGACATTAGTTTAATTCAAAATTTGGTTTCGATTCCCATGATGAGTATTAGCAGAAGGGCAGCGCCTTTAGAGAGGGCCATGTGTTGTATGCGTATCCAAAAATAATTTATAATTTAGCTTTAGTTAATTAATTAGTTTTTCAATTTTGCACAGAAGCTCTTTTGCTTTGTGCGCTTCACATTCGTGGACCCGCATTGGCAAAGGCATAGGGCGTGGGCACATTACAGGATGTGGAGGCGCTGGTGCACTTGCAGCTCTTGCCTGATGGGGCCTTACGATTGACCAGGCACAGGCGAGCATCCGTGCAGCCGCCATTGTTGATTTGGCAAGGACTCTCGAATTGCGGACAGTTCTGCTCCACGGAGGTCATGCCGTACATTTTGTGACTGCCGAAGAAGGGCGTCTGAATGGATTTCTGGCGCTCGCCCTGATTGTTCACGCTCTCGAGCTTCTTGCTGTGGCATTAAAGCACAATTAAAATATGGATATAAATTATCTTACGTTTACTTACGTTGTCCAGTCGGTCCAATAAAATTGATCGTGTGTAAAGGTCAGACCAAACGGATAGGACAGATCATTGGAAATAGTGCGTATTTGATGGCTGTGCGCATCAATGCATTCGACCTTTTTGGTGCCAGCATCGGCAAAGCACAGCTCGCCGCTCGACTCCAGTACAACCAGCGAGTTTGGCAGATTGACGGCGTCCTTGCCCAAAAGTATCTCACGGCCCGTGCCATCGAGATCTGAAAATTCAATCTTTGGTCCGGCGCGATCCCAGTCGGACCAATAGATTTTTCTAGACAAATGAAGAGGATATTTTGTTATTAAATAAAGTGCAGATAAAAGAATTTGTAACGCACTCTCTAATGGGATCCACAGCAATGCCGCGAGGATTTACCAGCTGCTTATTAATAATGACAGCACGCAGTGTGGGGTCGTCTAGACTAGCTACTTCAATGGTATCCTTAACCGAATCCGTCCAGTATAAGCGACGTGATACAACATCAATGGCAATACCCTCTGGCGACTCAATGTCTTCAAGGGAAAAAAACGTAAACTTTGGATACAATAATTTTTTTTAATTTAATCTTACCGGTGGTTATGAAGGGACGGGCATCGGTGCCGTCGTACTTGGAGCTCATAATTTTCTTGGTTGAAATGTCACCCCAGTAAATGCGACCTTCCACACAATCCTTATCTAAGCCAATGGCCATGGATGTGACCGAAATTGGAAGTACATTGCGTCCATTAAGAGGCACACGAACGATCATCACGCCTTGACTGACAATCAAGAAGTCTGATTCGTGCTGCTGTCGTTCAAAGCACACTGACCCATTGCCGTAGAAACCTTAAGTGGAAGAATTGAAAATTTCCGATTAGCATAGTAAGCGCTGAGGTAAAATTCCATTGTCCCACAAGGGCATTCGTCATATTCGGTTCTACCAATACACAAATATTTCGTTTCGGTTTTGATAAATGCAAAATTGTTAGTACTGCCTGGAAGCTTAGTAAGATGTTGCCGTTTCATAAGCTGTTCTCGAAGACCTTGAGCTTGGGCAACATGCGTTCCTTTTCTAATGGCATTCTGATTCTTCGTGCGGCTCAATTACCGGGCGCAATGGCTTTGGCGAAACGATCCTACACTCAGAAGGCAACCGAGACTGTGAGCAGGCGCATCTCACCTATGCAGTCCATGCGTGAGTTCTTCTCACACCCCATGACCTGGGATCGGAATAACGGCTACCTGAACGTTCTGCTCTGCTTGGCCATTTTCGGATTTTGCTTTTTCACCTCGTGCCCGCCGACCGAGCAGAAACGATCCCTGGACATACCCAGCAAGAAGTGAGGGATCACCGGCGAACTGAATTCCATTCTTTTGGAGAATCCCTTGCCAGTATAAATAAAAAGTCGAACATCTGGATTGACCCGATTCGAACTCACCCTGATTGCAGACGCACACAAGTCCGGTATTAGTGGAATGGCACTTGGCGTTCATGTCACAGAGAGTGGGCTTATTCAGGCAGTTCAGTTCCTCGATACAAACGTAGCCATCGCCATGGTAACCAGCGTTGCACTGACACTCATAGTGGGCAGGATCTCTGGAGGATTAAATAGAGTGAGCTTTAAGAATATCAACGAATCAAAATCAGTTCACTTACTCAGTAGGTTCACAGGTGGCGTGAATGCCACAGGTATTGCGTACGTTGCAGGGTTCCGGTTTGCTGGTGCAACCTTCAAGAGCATCACCTTCGTAGCCATCGAGGCAAGCACAATATTGAACGCCCTGGCTAGCATCCCACTTGCAAATGGCATTGGAGCCGCAGAAGACGGCGCCACAGCGACCGGACTGGACGCACAGATCATTGGCGTCCCGTTCTAAGCCCTCATTGCATTGGCATACACCGTTGTCACAGAAGGCACTATCACCACAGTCGGCACTCCATTGGCACTCGGGCTCCAACTGGCAGTGGAAGCCATCGCCTCTGTAGCCTCGCTCGCATACACACTCAGATTTGTCCAACTGCTCCTGATACTGGCAACTAGCGTGCGGATCGCAGATGTCAGGCCGCTAAGAAATTAGGTACATTTAATATAGAATTCACTCGCAGCTTGCTTATTACACTTACCATAGCACAGGAATCGTCGATGGGGTCGCAGTTGTAGCCGTCGCCACTCAGACCAGGATTGCAGGTGCAAATATGACGCAGCTCTTGTTCGTACCAAGCGCAGGTGGCATTGATGTGACAATTGGCGTCAACGTCGCAGGGAACTGTAGAAACGAATTTTACAAAAAATGATTTCTTGGTTTAGCCCAAACGCTGGAGACTCACCCAAATCCTCGGACGGCTCGACTGGATAGTGCAGTATGTAACGGCATGTCCTGGAATCTTCGGTGAGTTCATAGCCTTCCGGGCAGTTGCAATCACCCTCCTCATTGCAGTTTGCCTCCAGCTCGTGCTCATCTAGAAGCAGGGGCACGCAGCGGCCGTGTTCCCATACCTCGTCATGGCCACAGATATTGACGCAACTGTAGCCGTTGCCCGAGAATCCACTGCGGCATATACAACGACCTTCATAGCAATCGGCATCAGGGGCACAACGCTGGAAAGACAAAAATAGGCGCCGTTATTGAAATCTTTAAATACAGTTACCTATAGGTAATCTCAATAACAACAACAGTTTGAGTTTAAAAATAACAGAAATCAGAAAGTTCATGTGAAGTTTGGTCACATCTAGAGTCCTAAAGATATACCTAAACTATTCCACAACATTAAGATTGGATGAAAAAACAAAAAAAAAAATGTATCCCAAGCTAGGCTGCTTAGCAGAACTCCCAGGTTATGGAGTAACTCACATGACATTCATACTGTTGCTGGGGCGGGTAGTCCACGTTTCCATTGGGAACTTCGGCACTGTCGCCTTCGTAGGTTGGGGGCAGAGGCGCAGGTGTGGAGTACTCAATATTGTCAGCAGTGTTGTTACGCAGGCAACGGTAGCCGTTGCCCTCGTAGCCATCGTAGCAGATGCAGGTGAAGCCGCCCTCGTTGTTGGTACACAAGGCATTATCGTCACAAACGTGCGTTCCCGAGGCACACTCGTCAATGTCCAGGCAAATTTCTGCGCCGCGCTCGTCCAGCTGCGGTCCAAAGCCATGGCGGCAGTCACATCGATAGGTGTCATCGTAAGGTACACAGACTGCGTTTTCCCCGCACTGGGCACTACCATCGGTACAAGCATTGGATTCGGCATCCACGCCAATCTTGTTTACCGCGCTCGTGCGCAGCGCTTGATCGCGCTCGGAGTAGTCCAGCACTATTTTTGATACCTTCTGAAGCACGGAAGTGTCCGTTGGATCTGCATCATCGTCACGCAAGCAGCTTTGGTAGATAATGGTTTGCTCCACCTGGCAGCCAATGACGCGCTGCTCTTGGGAGAGTTCCAGCTGGTGCGAGTACTCGGAGTGCAGCTCTCCAGGACGCACAAAACGATACTCATCAGTATAATCAGCCAGGTGCAATGGTTCCGAATGCGACACTTGTGGCACTGAGCCATGCAGTGTAATTTTTACGTCCAGTTGATCCCAATAGTTAAGTCCCTCGAATGTCTGATTGACCAGTAGTACCTCTCCAGAGTCATACTGAATGCGCGATGTGTGCACGTAATGTCCTCCTGTCAGCTGGTAGCCGTTAACGGCGCCACCCACTGGCTTGGCGAACAGCCAGCCAATGGTGGTCAGTAGAGGCAAAACCAGACGTAGCTGGGCACCCAGCTCTGTGCTAACCGGGTTTACGGCCGTGTAGCTGCGCGCATCGGAGGTGACTACGTAGGACTGCAGCTTGGCACGCTCATCGACTGGAACTCCATTCAGGTCACCCTCCAAAGAACCAGTGACGCGAATCGGCACATCGTTGGCAATGCAGGCGCGTCCGTTGCCATAGTAGCCGGGCTGGCAGACGCAACAATAGCCCTCGGCTTTGTCGTGGCACTGCGCATGCGTGTCGCACTGATGGCTATTGGCGTTGCATGTCTGGGCCAGAGCGGGCGATTCCGTGCGTGTCTCCGCGTTATCTGGGATGCGCACATTCTCACCCTCAGCCAAAGGACCCGCTGCATAGAGCCAAACGCCAGGGACACCCAGATTGGTGCTCTCGCTTAGAAACCGTGCCTGCATAGCAGCGTTAAAGAATTAAAAACTGAAAATTATAAATTTGTCGGTACTTACATTCTCCGAGCCAGACCCATTCAGATTGAAATAACGTCCATCCTCGGCTACAAAACCAGCTTGGGCTCGTATGTCGGGTAGACCTAAAGAACCAGCCTCCCCCTGCAGCCAATTCAGACCACCCTCGGGATAGATGAACTGCACAAAGGTCTGCTCTTCATTTACAATCAGCGCCACTTGAAAAGTGTTTACTCTGTCCGTTTTTGAGTCGAAGTACCCCACATTACGCCAGGTGGCCACAATCAGTTGCCTGGCTTCAAAATCCTGCTCCTCACTGAAGGCGTAGCGTATCAGTTGCTGTGCCTTATAGAGAGCGCCCGAATCGTTTGTCTCGAAAAGGGTAATGGAGCTGTTTTCATCGCTATCAGAGGTATCCACGTTCGAATAGAACGGGGCAATAGACGGGTACTCCAGGGGGAACGGTTGATTTAGGTATTCAGCGAATTCCACATTGAATGTCAATATGCCATTCGTGTTGATCTGTAGAGGGACAAGAATAAAGAGCACCCAAGTGAGATAAATGCGATTAGGATTAAGATATACTAAGTGGTAAGTATCAATTAGACACTCCTGATTATCTCTTGAAAAGGCGTGAAAAGAGAGGGATTTTAATGGTGTGTGAAGGATGTTTAGCTCTCTAAGTAAGAGGAAGTTCTTCTTCACGCTCGACTGACACGGCTTGGATTTCAAAAAGAAGTGCGATCACTTCACACAAACACACACACACACACAAGCGCACGTATTGCCCATCAATTAGACAGGCATATGCTTGTGGATGAATGCCAAGTGCTCATTAATGTGCCTGTTGTTGGCCACTTAAGGGCCGACTATAACACCCTCATAGGGCGTCTGTGCATTCCCAAAGTGGCGGAAACAAAATAAAAACAAATCATTAACTCAAATAGAAACAACTACAAAAACAATAGTGCGGAGCCGATTTTAAGCCAACGAGTCATGGCTGCCGCCTCTAATGACTTTCTTAATTGACTTCCTTGTCGGCACTTTGCGCCCCCTACCTCGGCCTTTCCACACTTTAGCAACCACTCCTACGAGTATCTGGCCAGAATGAGTTCAAATTCCTTCGCACCGTTCCGCCGACATTGTACATCTGTTATATCTGTCCTCAGAGATCTGCCTTGATGCACTCTGCACCCGAACTCTCTGGCACCGTTTCGCTACAACACCAAATCTTTATAAAGCATTTGAAATGCTGCTTCTTTTCATTCGACTAGATAAACAAATTCTCCTGCGGAATTGGAACACAGGTGTTCTAAATATGTTGCTGTGGCATGCCTTTGCTGCCGGCGCAGCTTTTTAAATCAGTTTTATCTGCACGGCGTCTACGCCACGGGGCACAGGCGTCCATTGAGTGCGATGTGGAAATATTCGCTAATGGCGGACAGGCGCGTTTGCGTGGAATTCCGGCAGATTAGCGGGTGATTTGTTTAACTCACACTCAAGTTGGGGAACGCGTGCCAATGGAAAACATTTGCCGTAATTGAAATAGAACGTGATAATGTGCATGCATACTACAAGTATATCTAAAGGGTTAAGGGAAATAATAGATTGCTGCGAATTTAAGGAAAATACACGAAATACCCAGCAAGAGGCCTAGCAAATCATATAAAGTACTTAAAGGCTAAGTTAGTATAGTGAGATGGGTCGCTTTACAAATTTAGAATTATTGTAGAGCCGCAAACTAAAAACAAAATATTTAACTTTTTTTTAACCTATTCGATTTAAAGACTTTAATTTGAATTGTTGACGGAAAGTATGAAAACATTATAAGATTAGAATTATATTTTTGGTTGTATTCTATTAATTGAAGTTGTTTGATTTACGAATAGAACATTTCTACCCGATAGTACATTTTAAAAGACTACTGCAAATTCTATTTTAACGCTCTATTAAAATTGTGAAAAAAGAGGCTTTTTTACTTAATTTCCAGCTGGAACGTATTACTTCGGAGTAATGAATATTTTTTTATGAGTATGCCTTTCTATGAACATTTTAGACCGCGTGCTATTTTCCATTTCAGACACATAAATTCAGTTAATTAAACAACAAAAATAGGCGACACTTCTGTTCTGGCCTGGCGTCGTTCTTGTGAGCTAAAAGAGCTCATCATTTTTAATATACTCGTAAATACGCACACAAAACGCTAAAACGTTGGCATCTAGCCAGAGTGGCGTAGCGACATCAATGGGTTGGTTGCTTGACTGGCTATTTATTGTAGTGCCTAAAAAATGGGGCTCCTCAGACCATAGACAGCACATGGGCATGGACATGGGCATGGACCAACCCACAAGTGGACAAGCGAATTGATTTCACGCGCCTCTCTGACGCCTGCAATTATCGCGCTCGGCATTTTGGTCAAGCGGCAGTATTCTTTTGTATATGTGTACAAGTATGTGTGTATTATGTATAACATATACATATGTATAGTAAATAATTACAATGCTGTTGTTGTACACAGTTTGTGTTTCGAAATCACTAGCTGGGCTGTCATGTTTGCTGAAAATTAATGTCGATTTCTGTCGAATGTTGTTGTGCTATAAATAAACGACACTTGGCGGCATGCGCGTCAACAAAGATGCCACACTTAATACCTCCTTTCCTCTGCCTGTGCATGTGCGTGTTTGTTTGTTTGTTTGCAATGGACTAGTAAGCGTTACATACTCAAATATAAGTATAAATAGGGATTATCAATGCTCTACAGTGTCTCAAAGACCGCTCATTTTGCATTACGTGCTGCTGCAGCGGGGGTTATCAGTGCTGGTGTGAAAAATGAGAAATCAGAAATCAGAAAAAATAAACCCGAAGAGTGCAATCTGGGGATTCATTCATTCACAGTAACTCAACATCAAAGTTGCAATATAGAACTTATCTGTGAATCGACAACAAATTGCAAGCAATTCAGAGATACTCGTCTATCTACACGTACAAGTATATAAGTATGTACATACTTGTATATGCACATGGGTCTTGGGTCTTACTCACATAAAGCTGATCATATTTTTCGCCATAGAAATTAATCGGTGATTGGAGTTGGAGCAGCGACTGCTCGCTGTCGCCCTTGGGCAGATATTGAATATGGCCTGTGCCCTCGTTGAACTCGTATAGCTCATTGGCGCGTAGACTGTCCAGGTAATGTTCGAACTGAGCACTGACCGCAGTGCTCAGGAGAAGGGCCAGCGCCAGAATACGGCACAAGTGCTGGCCAAAACCCGCCATTGTCACTCGATTTGAAATTGTTAGCTTATCACACTTTTCTGAAAACTGAAGCGATTTCACAATTTCGCCAGCACCATTTTCACAAGTAAAAGACGAGACACCAGCGTTTTATTGAATGTTTGGAGGAGCAACACTTGGGCACTACAACTTTGCTTTCCGTTTGATCCAAAAATATCAAATTTATAAATAAATTGCTACCACCGAACTGGCAGCCTGCTACAACATATATATATATATAAACTGGTATATATATTTGTATTGTAGTTTGTCTTTGGAATTGTGATTGTGTCTTGGAGCGGCGACACAAGCGCCTTTGACTTTGACTAAATGCCGAACAAAGCCGAACCGAACCACACGCGCTGACAACACTTTCTCGACTGAGACCATTCGCTGCCGTGTGGAAACTCTTAAGATCGTGCCGAGCAGTGGGCCCTGAGGCAGCTGTTGCCTCCGCCTCAACCTCAGCCACCGCCTCAGTCTCAGTCTCTGCCCCCGCTATTGCTGCCGAACGGAAAATGTTTTTGTTCGTATCGCCAGGCAGGAGTGTGAGAGTGCCTTCTTGCTGGATAATGCACATGCAATTCTACAGATATACCAACACATCTAAATAATTATATTCATATGCATATTTACTCACAGCCCGAGACAGCATCCACAAGTTGCACTGAGACAGTCTACAGCAAATACTCTCCACACATACACTGGAGATAGAGAAAGAGATAGCGAAACCACAGATGCTATGCAGACTCTCAGAGAAAGTTCTTACGAGTTCGCATATTTATTGTTTATGATAATTTATTGCTCTTCCTGACATTTACGATCCACAAGCATTTCTAATTCGCACATGCTGCGATATTAATACTTGTATCCAAGTTAGCTAGTTAAGTAAAAAGTTTGTATAAATAAATCCATAAACCTATGTTCAGCACGATACTACAAATCGATTTGGCCAAGCTTGTGTCCTTACGAAAACGGAGAACTCTTTAACCATAAGAGTGGGGTGAATGAAGACTTATCTAATCCATTTATTACATTTATATTGATTATTTTATGTAATTGCAGCTTTAAAGACCCGTCCTAGTTGCAAACAAATATTTTATTCCGTTTGTTAATCTTTGTTGATATCCCTTTTCGTAAAAAAGTTTATTTATTGCTTATTTAATGACCGTAAGTGGAAGTCAAGAACATATAGACTTCGGAAAAAGCACACCCTCAGAAAGGAAAAAATACGTTGTAGGTATAAGATATCGGAAAATATTAAAAACGAAAAGACCTATACCTATACCGTTCATCTTTAATTCGAATCCATTTTCACGCATTTTGAATTTTTTTAGTCCATTGCCACGTGCATGTTAATTGATTTAATAATATCTTTCAACGACTGCTTTCTGATAATATCATATACTATACCCGTACATACTATTTGAACTTAAAATATCAGGCAAACTTATACACCATATACAATATTCCCCGTTCTTTTTGGAGTGAAAATTATGAAAAGAATTGAACAAATTTATTTTCGTATGAAGATTTGTAGATATACTACAAGTATTTTAAGATGATTGAAAATAATATAAATATGATCTTTCTATTTTTATTTATTTATTTATAAAATTTTAAAGAGCATGTAGATTTTGAAAATGTTCTCCAATTAATCAGTCTTTCCCTTGCCTGTTAAAAGGCTTCTCCATTCCACATATCAAAATTAGTTAGTAGAAATTAATCGAAAAAATTATTCCAAGCGTTGAATGCAAATAGATGGAGTTATCTCTCTGGACCTCATATATGTAGCAGCAGACGTTCAGGCTCTACTTCTTTAAAATATGTACATAGTTGTACTTATAACTAAACAATTCGGTATAATTTTCGAGTAACTAATGGTACAGATACACGTATAACATCAAAAATTGACTTCAGTGTGCAGTCATGCTCGGAAATAACTTCTCAAATGGATAGGCTTGCTATGCTTGCCCAATACCTATTTTCTAGGTGGGCTAGAGGGCGGACCACAAAAAGAGAAGAGAATCGGATAAATAAATAATGCAGACAGACTTGCGCAATGTTGGAGCAGCGCCCAGTTAGCCACGTTCTATTTCCGCCGAAATGAACTTCAGACGGGCACGTGCCGCTTGATTGCTTGTCTCGCATGCCACCATGAAGCGATTCCGGGCCCATGCTCCTCTGTACCAGAAGCAGTACCTACCAGACAAACACACATCACTACTCGTATAGTTGCATATCCAAAATAAGCAACTGGGAACTTCTGAGGCAGCGACGCTTCGTCTGCGCCTTAACTGATGACGACGATGGTGGCACACTATGGGTGTGCTGGGGTGTGCTGGGGTGTGAGGGTGTGGCGGCATGGCGGCATGTGTGTGCACTATTTATGATGTATTTCTCGGTTAATTAGTTGCAGCTGAAGCTGAAGCCGGCGCTGCGCTTCCGCATGCATTTGTAGAGCAGTGGCAGCATGTCCCAAGCAGCTATATTTGGAAGAGAAGACAGGGAGCATCTGATACTTCACAGCTCTTGCCGCTTGATCAGTGATAGATGCCCTCGCCTTGCGTCATTAATCTTCGAGAGCGCAGCCAATGTGTGAGTGCACGTGAAAGTGCATCAGTTCCAGGAATTTCATCCGAATGCCGCACAATATGTGCACGCATCGAATGCTATACTTAACTCCTTTCCTTTCCTCCTGATGCAACGCAATGGATGCCCTCCCAGTCATGTTGTTTGTGTTATGAACCGAAATTTGCGTGTGTGTGTGTATGGATGAGTGTGAGTTTGCGGAGCGGCAATTTAATTATCTACTATGGCTACAGATAAAAGCATTTAAAGCTTAAATTAGCCACGTAATTAAAACCTATAAAACGTTACGGAAAATTAGGCGCCGGCCACATACGAGAGCGTTGGCTATGGGGCTAATATAAATGCGATTGCTGGCGTTGCGATACAAAGAGAACTTTTCCAAAAATGTTGTGGCTCCAACTGCTGTGCGGACTGCTTTTGCTAAACGGAGTGTGGAACAAACCTGCGGCCCAGAAGGAGGATGATGATGAGGAAGACTGCGAAATTAATGCGCCGGACACCATGGTAAGCTAAAAAACTATGAAGTTGAATGGGGTCTGTTTGAATAGATCGAAAGAAGTCTTATCAGGTTTGTTCCCATTTCCGAATCCATAGGCATATTAAAATGGGAAAGCTACTTGATTTTGTCAAATTAAAAGCAAATATGCTTAAGAATTAAACTAACGGAGAGACATACAATAATTTATTTAAATAATTTGTTCTATTTTAAAAATAAAGTTTAAAAAGTAAGTCTCAAAGAATGTTTTGCTTCTGAAAACTATATTTTGTTATAACATTTTTATTGGTTTCCATTGAAATAACTTTTTAGTTATTTTACGAGATATACTTGTATACTAGCTAGACTGATTCTTTCCAGCACGACTTCTGCTGCGATTTACATGACGAGCTCAGCCAGTTTGTGGAGTGCCAAATAGAGTGGCACGAAAAGATACATTACACCACGGATAAAGAGGAGCAAACCTACATGTTTGTAAGTAATTGAGAAGTAGTAGTGTCTGTCAAACGTCCTGCGAATTCCCACTAATTTCTGCCGCTCCTCTCAGTGCACTGCCGAATGCACCTTCAATGGCACGGAATTGCTGAAACCAAATCGCAAGTCGCTCAATCTGAAGCGGGTGCAGGCACATCTGGAGAGCGAGCTTGCGGACGATGCGGATGAGGCACTGCTCTATGAAACCTACGTGAAGTGCGACAAGCATGGTCTGTGGATGAGGACTGCAATACCCTCTAAGGACTAATAACTTTACAAAATCCTTCACAGCCACGTCGTTGCTCTCGCACAAGAGTGTGAAGTCACTGTCGAAGCGTTTGGATGCCTATGGCTGCCATCCGTATCCAGGTCTGGTTATGGAGTGCGTCTCAAACGACATGATCTTGAACTGTCCACCTAAGCGGTTCCACGACACAGCCCAGTGTCGAGTGGCCCGTGACTATCTACGCAATTGCATGACGCATGTCAAGTACAAGCCATAGAAATACAAGAATGCTTTAAAAGATTTGCTTTATTGTGTAATTTTCCGCGAAATAAACGCAACTGTGCAAACTGTGTGGTGACTGGATCAAAACAATTGGTTCTGCGGGCGTCGGGTGGTCTGTGGACGTCCCTTGGGCTCAGGTGCAGGCCCTGCAGCCACAGGCTGATGCAATCCGGCAAAGAGCGCCATCAAAGTAAAGAGCAGCAACAAGTTAAGGCACTTCATCTCGGTTAGAGTACACGTTCTAGACTGTTCCAAGTAGCTAGGAAATCGACTGACTTTTATAGCTCCCACCCACATATTTGGACCTTAACTGGCGAACATAAATCGCGAAATAGATAGGGATCAACCATAAACAATCAAATGTCAACTGCAATTTGTCGATCGCCCGACGATTGCTATGAATTCCATCGCCGGAAGCATTTAGATGTGCGCCCATAAATTGCAAACAACAAGTTGTGTGCTTGCTTACGATTTATTTGCGTCTAAAATTACACTAAGGCTTAATTTTACGTTTTTATGTGGCGCTGCTTCACCAGATCGCCGTCTATCTGCAGCCCCTCGCATCTTTTCAAGTGCTTATCGAATTTCTTGGTGAATTTGTTCATCTGCTTTTCGTTGAGCTCGTCGATTGCCAAGTGTTTTTGGTACTTCTTCAGCAGTTTCTTTTTCAGCTTCTCCACAAATATGCCATCGTCCTGCTTCCCGATTAGTTTGGTCAATTGTGCTTGCCAATCGAACTGGGCAGGGGCTTCATCTACCGCCGCTGGCGTCGACTCTACCGCCACACCATTCTCTTTTTTTGCCTTCTTTTTTGCTGGTTCATGTTCATCCGCAACCTCGGTTTTGGTCTCTTCCGTATGCCCGTTTTGTGTTTTGTTTTGTTTTTTAGCTGCCGCTATTTCCTCCTCCTTTGCCCGCTTCATCTTGTCCAGCTCCTTCTCCAATATGTCCCAAACTTGCGTGGCCTGATGTCGCGGCATGCGCATACAGTTTGCCACGTAGTTCTCGAACTTGGCTTTTTTACGCGGCACATTGTCCACGCTCTGGAGCCGTTTGAACGCGTCCCGCACTGGCGGACTCATGTCATACTCTTGGCTATCGAGGATTGCGTGTATGATGTCCATCCAACTCTCCTGCTTCTTGGCGTTCTTATTTTTGGGGCCCTTGGCTACAAAGCCCTGGCTTACGCTTGCGTACTTTTCCGCTTCCGAAATGCATTTTATGTGAGCAACATACTCCTCACCGTAAAAATCTTTTAGGCAGTCCATGCACGACACATTTTTGTTATTTCCGCGGCATCGTTGTTGATAGTGCTTTTCAACGGCAGGCTTTTTGACGGATTCGCCGCAAATGTTGCAAGTGAAGAATACCATAGTTTAAAAAAGGAGTCGGAAAACGCGGCTTCCTGCGCTAAAAAAACCAAACAAACGCACGTGGTAGTCGATACCTTTCCACTGCTACTCAGTATTTTTGCTGCCCTGGTAGCAGCTGCTAAGTCCCTACAGTATGTAGTACTGAGGCTGTGTGCGTCAATTCATATTTTGAAATAGTGGAATTTGAACACAAAACTATTAATGTTTGACAGTTTTTAAATAAATTATGATGCAGCTCTGTCAAGAAACGATTAAAATAAATTAAATATTTAATAAATTAAAAGATTAATAAAGCATTACAAATATTTTAGCTAAAGCTAAAATATATATGCATTCAAAATTAGTTTTTCAAAATATTACCCGAAAATACATATGAACAATATTAATCAATGCGTAAATTTAAAAATTTAAATTTTACTAGCAAAACTGCGTACGCAGTTGGAAATAAATTGTTGATGGAATAAGAATTTTTCTTTTCTTGTTTTTGTTCTGTGTCTACTCAGTAGACTCTACTGGCTTGAAATCGTTGGTAGCTATCTGCCATTCAAGCTCATTGATGCCGGGAACTACCAGTTATATAGCAGCCAGCTTTATTTTTCAATCATCTGTAACAGCTGGTTTTTCTTCAGAACCGCCGTGGCACATGTGCGGCAATTCCGAATGTCTTTGTTGAAATTCTGTCGCCTGACTCTTTATGGAACAATTCGTGCATTTGGAAAACGTCGACGCACCACCGACATGAGCAAAGCGGCGACGGATTTCGCAGCCACTCCAACCTATGAACGACAGCCAAATGTCCTGCGAAAGAAGTTGGCTTCTGTTGTGCCGGGCTCCGTTAATGTCCAAGTGCTGGGCGCGGGGGCCAATGGTACTCCTTGCGCCGTGTACCTCTTCACAGACCAATCCCGATATCTCTTCAACTGCGGCGAAGGCACACAGCGACTGGCCCACGAGCACAAGACGCGCCTCTCTAGACTGGAACGCATTTTTGTGACACGCAACACTTGGACAGCAGTGGGTGGATTGCCCGGCCTAGCGCTGACCATACAGGACGCGGGCGTGCGCAGTGTTGGACTTCATGGACCTCCACATCTGGACACGATGCTGCAGAGCATGCGAAGATTTGTCGTACTCAAAACAATGGAATTGGACACGATTGACGGCACACTTTTTGATTACTTTGAGGATTCTATATTAAGCGTAAAGTCGGTACCCTTGCACAGCAAGCTAGAGGAGGGGAAGGTAGTCCTTAGTTATATATGCAAACTGAAACCACGAGCAGGCGCCCTCATTCTGGAAAAATGTGTGGAGAGAGGAGTGCAGCCAGGTCCGCTGTTGGGGCAGCTTAAAAATGGTCAAGACATAACATTGCCGTCTGGTGAGGTCGTGCGTTCCGTAGATGTCACTGAACCTGGAGAGACGGCCTTGTCATTCGTATTCATAGATGTGCCCAGTGAGGAATATTTTTCGGCATTGCAGGAACAGGCAGCACACTTTAAGGAGCTGTCTGCAACCGAGGTGACAGAAGTGGCGCTGGTGGTGCACTTCAGTCCACCCGATATGACGGCGCGTGCGGACTATCAGAACTTCATGGACTCGAACTTTTCGCAGTGCACGCAGCACATTTATCTCAATTCACCCCTGAACCATTTCTCCGGATATGCAGCCGCCCATCGCATACAATATCAGCTTCATCAGCTGGCGCCTCATATCTTTCCGCTTTTAGCCGAAGCTAATGAGCTGCAGTTGAGCAATGGCTTGAAGAAAACTCGGCTGGAGGAGAGCCCAGAAGCTGCAGATGCGAAAGAGAAACCGACGAAGGCACCGTCTCAAGGTGTGGTTCCGATGACCAGTTTCCACTTGCGGCCCAAAAAAGGTAAGTGAAAACTATTGCCATAGCATGCGATGATAATATAATGATAACGTTGAGTTGCTTTCAGGTCTGGATCGTATGCTGGAAATTAAATTGACACCGGATGAGTATGTCAGCGAAACGCACGCCTTACCTGGATTCAGCGATCTGCTTACACAGCTAAAGAGCGAGCAAAATCGCATCGATAGCAGCAGTTCCAGCACGTACCCTCGTATAATTTTCCTCGGCACCGGCTCCTCCATACCCAACAAAACACGCAACGTCAGTGGTATCTTGCTGCAAACCGCAGCAGACGCCTTTGTGATACTCGATTGCGGAGAGGGAACCTATGGCCAAATAGTCCGCTTGTATGGACGCAAGCAAGCGTTCCATGTCATGCGTCACCTGCAAGCGGTGTATATTTCGCATCTGCATGCCGATCACCATATTGGGCTGATTTCACTGCTGCTGGAACGCGAGAATCTTAAGCCGAAGGCTCCCCTTCTGCTGATTGCTCCGCGCCAAATAGAGCCTTGGCTTCAGTTCTACAATAACAAAATTGAACACATCAAGAGCGCATACACGTTGGTGGGAAACGGCGAACTCATGGAGCAGCCGCTCAGCGACGAAAGATTAGTCGCAATGGGAATACAATCAATAGCCACCTGTCTGGTGCGCCACTGTCCACATGCCTTTGGCGTGAGCCTCACGTTGCAGTCACAGCACGAAGGTGCACCCGTGAAGCTCACCTACAGTGGCGACACCATGCCCTGTGCCGATCTTATAGACTTAGGCCGCAATTCCACAGTGCTAATACATGAGGCCACCATGGAGGACGATCTGCAGGAGGAGGCGCGAGTCAAAGCGCACAGCACCGTCTCGCAGGCCATACAGCAGGGCCGCGACATGCAAGCCAAGCACATTATACTCACTCACTTCTCACAACGCTATGCGAAGTGCCCGAGACTGCCCTCTCCGGAGGCTATGCATGATGTGGCCATTGCCTTCGACAACATGCAGGTGACTGTGCCGGACTTGCAGAACTACCACAAGTTGTACCCCGCCCTCTTAGCCATGTACGCAGAGTACACCGAGGAACTGGAGCAGCGAGCCGCCAAACGGGAACTTAAGCAGGAGCGCAAACGAAAGTTGGCCCCGACGTGATGATAATTTAATTCGCTTGTTCTACCTAAGTTATTAAGCCCAATGTTTAAAGTATTTGATATTGTTCAGTGTTAAATCGGATACGGCAAATTCATGCTTCACATGAGTCCCCAGCATGTTAAAGAAAAGTCAATTTTGCAGCAACAAATACTGTGTGTGTGTATATCAGATCAGATGGATGCGAATATTGCCTCAAGAAAGTACTCCCACATTACAACGAATTAATAAAAACGTTAAAATTGTGACATTGTTAAGGATTAAGACAACCGAAAAAATCACCAAATGTAACATCAAATAAACAGAAATTTCTGTGGTGTTTATTTTATTAAATTTTATTTCTCTAAATACTCTTGCAACAGTGTCCGTGTAATAAACGCTCTATTTTTGGTTTTATATAATTGTTTTGCTTAATTTCTTGTTTAGATTTCTTCGTTATTATTACATAGTAATTCATTTTAAAAATTATTAATGATTAGTTTGTCGACACAACAAAGGGCACTTCGATTTAGTCAATAGAATTTCAATTTTAAGGCACTCGTGTTCAACTCAACAGTTACAGCAACTTTGCGAAATGGCGCGTCATTTGACTTATCTACGCCCAAATTCTTAATAAGATTAACTCGCTATATGCATTTTAAGGTGTTTCTGTTTTTGGAAAGTAGCTGTGACTAGTTAAAATTAGTAAACGAAAAAATATACCAAGCACGCACTTAATTTAGTTATGGGTTTGTTTTTGATATTGTTTTTTCTCTTTTGTTTTTTTTTTTTTTTTTGGTTCGAGGCTGTGTGTGATTGTGGGGGAAACTATTTGTTAATATTCTTTTTTTTTGTATAAATAACACAATTTCAACATTTATAGAAGTAATGCTCTTTTAAAAATAAATAAATAGTATTACATTTAAATTAAGAAAAACGCTCATTGGCAATTCAAGAAGCAACAACATAAATTAAAAATCAAATAAATAATTACTTTCTTTTCGGCGACTGCTGTTAAAAACATATTAGACTACGAAATCTGTAATATTAGAAATGAACAATAATAGTTTTTGCTTTCTTGCATTAAATATCGTAACGGTTCAGGCACGTTCCACGTAGTTGCCGGGGAATGTGCCGAAGCAGCCGGTGCGCTGTGAAGTTCCCACAAACCAGCCATCGTCACATTTCTCCAGCACATGGACCAAGTCGCCCTCGAGCAGCTCCAGTTCGTCGGAGTTCTGTGGCCGGTACTTGTACAGGGCCCGATAGCTGAAAGCGGGGACGAATAACAGGCTTGGGTGAAGGGTGAAGGTAAGCTAAAGGGGATCGAGACTTACGCCAATGGCTCGGTGCTGGTGTCCACATGCAGGGCATCGGTCTTATGGAGGTGTTTCGTCTCCTTAAGTATGCCATTCGGCGGCTGTGCACCATTTTGCGTCAAGGTGTTGAACTCGTTATTGATATTTGTGCGTAGCACGTCCAGCGTGGGACGTAGGTTTGTCGTACTGTGGCTGCTGATGACAGTGGTGGTCTTTGCCGCGATATCCTCGGCACCAATGTCAGTGAGAATCTGTAAATATATTAAGGAATAAATATATTGTTGCTGGCATGTCTAAAGTAAAGCGGCCAATTACCTCCACATACGACACTGGAAATATGCCCTTGCGGTTGGCTATCTTTCCCTCGAACCAATTGCCGTCGACGCGGCGTGTCAGCGTGACCAGCTCGCCTTTGTTTAGCGAAAGTTCAATACCGGATTGGGCTTGGAAATTATATTTGGCACGTGCCTGACCCTCTGATGGCCGCTTGGCAGGGGTCCGGGCCCCATCACGGCTGACTATCTGTGGAGCACAGGTAGATTAATTAGTGCCTTTGGCAAATGAAAACTCTCTCAAAAATAGCTGGATAGACACATTATAGATAAGGTATTCCTAACTAGAAGTCGGTTATTAGAACTTACTTCTACGTAGCTAACCGGCAGCAGACCAATCATCGCATTGTGCTCACCCTCATACCAGTTGGCATCAATCTGTCGTCTTATATAGATGGTGTCGCCCTTGCGGAATGACAGCTCCCTGAAACATGTTTAAATTCGTAAGATTACAGCTCTTGAGCGGACCAGAAAAAACAGCATTTGCACTCACTTTGAGCTTTGACCCTGGAAATTGTAGAGCGCCCGCGCCACCGTCTTGGGTCCCACCAGGGACTTGAGTGTCACATCTGTGGGGAAATCATCATAGCGGTTCAATGCTATTGGCGATTTCTGCGATGGCGTAAAGTTGTCCGTATGGCGTCTCGAATTCATGTCCTGCAGCTCCTGTAAGTACTTGCGTCGTCGCTCCTCCTGATAAAGTTTCTGCATGTGCTCCGCTTGATTCCTGGCTAATTCCTCCTCCGACAGCGACTGCTTGTACTCATGCCTTATGGGTGTCTTGAAGTGTATGTTCACGTCTGTGTCATAATATCGATTTGGAGATTCTGTGCATCAGTCAACAATGAAGGGGCGAGCAATAAGCAGAAGCGTCTTGTTAGATAAAGCTGCCACAGTTTGCGAGCTGTTCTCCCCCTTCCCCCTTCTCTTCCCCACCCAATGCTGTCAGAGTGTGTTTGTTGGTTCTGCTCATGCAAATATTAATAACTAATAAGCGCACTAGCTAGCCATTTAGACTTTGGCATTGTTTACGCCGAGAATAACAACTGAAACAACTGTTGGCGACGATGTCTCTCTGTCTCGCTGTCTTTGCTGTAAGACGACCCAACCACAACGTCGTCGTCGTCATCATCATCATCATCATCATCATCATCATTTTTATCATCATTGCTGCTGTTATGAAACCAAACGGGGCTTCATCCAGTGGCAACTGCTTCTGCTACTCTTATCTGTCAACTACCTACTGTATCTCTAATAAGTATGATCATTAGGCTGCGGCAATTGCTGAGCACGCAGCGTTAGAAAACGAAGATAATCTAACCAGGCAGACAGTCAGTCAGTCAGTGAGTGAGTTAGTTAGTTGGTTGGTTGGTTGGTTGGTTGGGTAAGTGGAAAAATATGTCTGATAAATGCCAGAGTCACGCCCCAGGGTGTCGGTTACGGTTTCAAATGCTCAAATTGAATTAAATTTGATTGTATTGAAAATAAGCTTGAATTGAAGTTGGCTTGGCTTGGCTTGGCTGGGCTGGTTGGTCGGTTGTTGAAAGCAACAATAAGTGGTCAAGCACCCCAAAGTCGTAGAATGAACTCTCCAAGTAATGTACCTTAAATGAATCATGCTATTTTATTGTTATCTCGGCAATTGAGTGAATAAAAACCGACTCTGAAAGACTTTTCACGGCTCTTGATCATTTGTCATGCCTTAATGATTCCCTGGAAAAAGACTGTTTAGTCATTCTCTAGCAACCAGTTCAGAGTAGCTCTAAGCTCCACTCTTGTTTGCTTTAACACATTTCTACTTTGCATAAAGAGGCGATAACTTAGGTAAATATATAGTACATAATCGTATACTCGTAAAAGCTGACACTGATATGAGCACGAGCTAAGAAATTCAGTTAGAAAAGCGCGCAATTGAATTGAACAAGAATTTGATTTCAAATGCTGTTGTTGGGTGCGGGAGAATACGGGAGGAATAGCGTCACAGCATTTGCATAACATAGTTTTCTGTGGCTGTTCACAGTTGTTGATAAACAAAAAATGTCGGGCTACTGAATAAATTTACATTGCCACAATTAGCTGCGTATAAAATTGTGTGGTGACAAATAATTTGAAAGAGACAAACGCAATATTAGGCCCAAAAACTAGCTGAACAATTGCACAAATATTTGTAGGAAAACAAACTCATAACGTATAAGTGGTGTACGAGATGTATGCATGCATTGTTGTTGTAAGAGAGACAACAACAATTAACAGCAGCAACTTTGTACGACAACGTACAACAAGCTTAATTGACGACACTTGGGAAATTTTCACTTTCACTGATTTGTTATGGCGCGCCTTGTAAGTTGTTGCATGTTGAAAGCGTTGCCGATTTTCATCTTTCACTAGACACACACACACACACACACATATATACATACAAACACACACACACACATGCCTGCCGTGTCATATTGGCGGCCAAAGACTGCATAAACAGACGGACACTTTTTGTTGTTGTTACAATTTGCTGTCACTTTTCACAAGCTTGGGACTCCACACCATTCCATTCGTATACACATTTCTATCAATTAGTGCAGCGCACTCTTGTTGCCACCGTTAGTCACACGATCGCACAATCAATCAGAATCAGTTCATCATCAACAACACATCACAACCACAACCACAACAACAACATCAACAAATAGATTTGAAGGCTACGCAGTCGCACAACCTCAAATACCGCTGATAAACCACGGAAAACAATTCTCTCAGTTCTCACAAAAGTCGTTCCACGTTCCACGACGACCGCGACTCACCTCTCTGCTCTCGACTACTGCATCGTCGAACGCGTGGCGCCCAACTGAATCGTCGAATTGTGGAAACTGAATGAAACCAGTGGACGAGCGAACGTGCGCGAATGAGAGTGGCTTGTGTGACGCCAAAGGCTTTGGGGCTGGCTCTGAGCAAAAGATACAAAAACAACGTACTGTAGTAGATATTGTAAGTACTACGAGTACGACGGGTGCCTTATCGCTGGCGTCACAGTGCTTGCTGATCGTGGCTGTTTGAGTGGGGAATAGCATGTTGCACAGTGGAGCCAGAGCATTCGACAATTAGCTAAAAGGGAATTCACGAAAAAGATGTCTGTTGGCAGGAAATATTCGTTCATAGGGGAATGAATGACAACAGGTCGTCTCCGATTGCGATTGAATTGGGTGTAGTCGAACAAAACTGATTGAGTTCAGAAATGGGAATTAAAAATTAAAAATATAGGAGTGTAAGTACATACATATATGATATATATGTACATATGTATATCAAAAAGTAAGGATTAACGAGCTTCTTGAATTTAATCCGATTTTAGCTTTAAAAAATAGGGGGAAATATAATTTGCTTGAACTTTAAATAAAATATTTTTTTTTATGGAATGTGCTGCACTCAAAATCCATTTGGTGGGCTTGATAAGGCAATGTAATGGCTATACGAGTGTGTATGGTATGTAAACAGATCTGATTAAAAAAGTTCGTTTAACTTGTAGGTATTATCATATGTACTTGTATTGCAGATATTGCTCTCACTCTCTCGAACAAATGTGTGTACCGGGTATATACATAGGTATACGAGTATTCAGCTTTTGAATGAGCGGTGCTAGAGCACGTTTTGAAATCTGAGAAGAGCCGAGAAAGGTTACCAAGATAGTGGCAAGTACGAGCGCACTCAATTCCTCGGTCTCTCCCGCTCTCTCGCTCTCTCTCTCTCTCTATCTTGGTGTACGAGTGATAACGGGTTTTTATTTTGGCAAAATAAAACCGTGAGAAAGTGCAAAACAGGAAGGTCGTTTAATCAAGTGAGAAAGTGAGAAAGCAGCTGGTCAGTGGCTGCTGAGCGGGCGGGCGGCCTATCAAACACAACAACAACAACAACAATTTGCGATACGAGGCGCGGAAACGTGCAGAATCGCTGGCTTGCTTCGAGCACGAGACCACGGAGGGCAGTTCAGTTTAATACTAACTAGCATGATGCTGTGGTTGTTGCCACGTGCGGCACACGCACGGATGTTGCTGCTGCTGCTGCTGCTGTTGCTGATGGAGACGTCGCTGCTCGTGCTGCATTACCAGTGGAATGGAGGCGCCAATAGCATGCTGATTGGCCAGGTAGGCCTGCCTCTGCATTGGCGACGGCGTGTAAGGCAACCCCAGCGTGTTCGTTCGTATGGTGTAGCTAAGAGCTGTAGGCGATGGCGGCAGAGCCGGAACTGGCGGCACTAGGGGCGCTGCGCCACCGCGATACCCATTGGGCACTTGCGACACAATGCCCTGCGCCTCGCGGCGTATCCACAATATTTTGCCACAATTGGCAATGTCGCAAACGCTACGGTGATGTGACAGGTGTGCTGTATTGTTGCCGTTGCTCTGGAAGTTGTTGTTGCTGGGATGTTGGTAGGAACGATGGCGTCCCAGCTGAGAGACTGGTGGGCCATCGCTGCTCTGGGGTCGCTGTGGTTGCTTCCAAGCTCTGTTTCCCTCATTCCAGCGTTGCTCATACGCCTCGTTGTGGGGCCACCAGTTCTGTTGTTGCTGTTGCTGTTGTTGTTGCTGCTGCAGCCTGTCATCTGTCAGGTCTAAATCATCGCAACTGCGATGCAACTTTTGCGTTGTTGGCCAATTTGTGGCCTGTCGCCAATGCACGCGCTGGCGACTCGCCTGGCTGTTGTTGTTCTTGGATTTGTTGTTGTGGTTGCTGTTCTCGTTGCCATGGCCATTATTGTTGGTGTAGGTGGTCCGCGGCGCCAGAGTTTGGTGTATCATGCTAATTAGGTTGTCCGAAATTGGTTCGTAGAGTTTTGAGATTTTGCAATTCAGTTCTCAGAACTGTGTTATGTAACTCATTGCTGGTGGAAATGAACGCGCGGCGTTCGTTCTAGATTAGTCGTTCTTAATTAGGAAACGCACTCTGGCATTTTGGCACGGAAAAGTGAAACTAACTAACGACATGGCGACAGGTACGCGAGTGCCCCGGCTTTTGGCTTGAGTTTAGTTTGAGTTTGTTTTGCCGACGCCGCTTGCCCTCGGCTTATTGATGTTGCTTTTGTTGTTATTGCTGCTTGTTGTGCCCCTTGTCGCTGACCATGGCAACGTTGACGTGCGTCTCGAAGGTGAGCGTGCGCAGTTTGGGGGTGGCGCATGGGTGGTGCACGGTTGCTTCTATTGCCGCCACTATCAAGTGGTAAACAGGTCAGCATTGTCAGCGTTGTCAGCAGTGCCAGCTAGCCGGCTATTGCTATGGCTATTGCTATGGCTATTGGTGGTATCGATTATTTGACCATGGCATGTGCCAAAGCGTAAAGGAAGCTCATTAATGCCGCCGCGCCTTCAAACGAGAATTGCAGCAATTGCGGAAATTTCGCCACACAGAAGTGAGAATGGCTTTGGGAAAGGTCATTGAATGAGAGAGTGTGAGACAATGGGGCCAGTGACGTAGTATAAGAATTGTTTAAGGGTGTCATAATTACTTAAGTACTTCAGAATGATGATTTTTTTTATTGAATTATGGGTTCTGACTAATCAAATAAAAATATTTTTTTTGCGGCGAAAAGATGATACAATTATAGAGAGCCCGACTAACCAACTAAAATGGTTTAAGCTATTATTACGGAATTATATTGAAGATGGGATGATAATGACGTTTCTAACATTCAAAAATGAACAGTTTATTACCAAAGGTTGTACTTTTTGGTTAAGAAACCTGATCCTATTTCGGATTTGTTACAGTTCTACGTTTTCGTTCCCAGCAAATATCATCTGCCATGAAATATAACATATAAGTATAATAAAAGGAACACTCTATTGGCCAGTTCTGTCCATATAAATCAATTTCGTTTTCAAGGAAATATGGCAATGCGCAGAAGCTTGATAATAAATGCTTTGGCGTCAAGGAAGCTTGGCTCTTTTTTAGCGCAACTCTTTTATTTATTTCTGGTGTAAAATAAACTCACCTGAACCATTGCTGTACTGATCGTATGAGATGAGGCCCTTTGCAGGCGGTTGTGGAGGGATGGGTGGTGCGCTCGAGTCAAAGTCTGCGCCAGCAATGTAAACATACAATAGATAATTTCGAAAGACAAGAAACCAATTTTTGTATTCATCAAATTGATAGAGAGGAAAAATAAAAAACTAAGCCGATGTTCGAGATATATGTCAAGCCTTAGTGCCAAATAGCAGACCCTGCTCTGTGGTATTAGATGTTATTTTAGAAGTTATAGAGGGGCAACCACAACCAGGCACAGTTTGGTGGATAAGAGGCCCACGCAAAAGGTCAACAACACACGTGACTGCTGCTCAATAGAAGTGATAAAATAAGTTTTAAGAAAGTTGTAAGCACCTTTAAATGTTACCGCCATGGTCTTCTTGTAACGCTCAAAAGTTCCACCACCACCAGAACCACCATTCACGATATTTGTTGGCGGCCGTTTCCACACCTTGTTGCTGCTGCTGTGGTAGTTGGTTTTGGCTGTCGTTTGTTCGGCGCCATCGGGCACGTAGCGTGCCTTCGGCTGATGCATTTTCGGATCGAATTTTTGATTAGCGAAAATGTCGTCATAGTGTGGGCGCAACGAGCTGGTTAGACTCGAGCTGGTTTGATGTCTCTGCGATTTGGGAGGACGGGGCGGCGATGTGGAACTGGCCCTTTGTTGGCGAAGGGGCTTGCGTGGCACCTTGTCTACAGGATGTGGTCTTGGGTGTTTATGTGCCACCCAATCGGCACTGAGGTGCGCCTGTACGTCCCGCAAATCCGGATGGGAAGTGGATAAATAGCGTATGGCCTGCGGTTCGGGCGATTCATAGCGACTGCGAATGCGTTCTACAATGCCGGCCCTCCCGCCCTCTGGCTGTCCAACTCCACTGTTGCTGCTGTGGCTGCGTGTCGGACTGTGCCTGCGCTTTAGCTCCCGTTTGAGTGCTGCGGTCTTGCTTATTATATCAATGTGTGGCATAAGTCGATTTCGCAAAGCGCTGGGTGAAATGGCGCCCCTTTGCCGCCGACGGCTACGAGTCGGTGAGGATGCGCCGCTGCATAATTCAAATTTGTGCGTCAGCCACGAAACCGGGGCGTCCTCAGTGCCCGGCCTGGACATTTTCTCCTCCAGCACCGCTTCCGTTGCAGTGCGCAAGGCGTCTTTTGATTCCGTTTCCAAGCTCACGTTGAATTCGGGATCGCTGCGCGCCTTCCTCAGCGAACTAAGCCCAAAAAAATCACGCCGTTCATTGGACTGTTGTTGTTGGCTTATGCTCTCGAATTTCTGCTTCATCTTTTGCACTTCCCCGGTGTAGACACGCTGTAGATAAGAGGAAGAACCGGAAGCCTGCGATTGGGGCGAGAGACTGCGTGATCGGTAGTATGAATCGTAAAACTCAATGCTACCATCGGGTGTGACTGTTTGATCTAGATCGAAGCTAATTAGCGTTTGTTCTAAGTGATCAGAGCCCGTATCAAAATGATTCCCTCCGTCGACGTCATCAGTACCGTCGGGTGGTCGCAGAGGGGGCGTATGCAAATGAAAATTTACTCGTGTGTTGGCGGCTGCTGCACGCTCGCCAAAGACCCCACTCAGATCGGTCAACGAATTGCTTAATTCTGTGTGTCTATGCTGAACGACATTTTGGCGTGCCCGCTTTTCCATATTTTCATCTATAAGACGCATAACCTCGGCCTCGTCTGGCGAAGAGTCTTCTCGGGCATGATAAATTGTCTTGGGAGGCTCCTCAAATTGCCGATCCTCAAAATACTGAATCTTTTGGGTAATATTTTCCTTTGGTTCCCGAGACAGGGAGATCTCTGGTTTTATGTTCGAGGCCTTAGCTAATGCTGCCGGCTTCACTGCCTCCGGTTTTGGTCGAGGTGGAACGTCCGGGGGCTTGGCTAGTGTAAGCTCGGCGTTTTTGGCTGCAATGGCGCCACGTGTCTCGCGTGCTACCATCACTGGCGAGCTGCTTCGAGTGGCTCGTGGAAGAGTTTGATTGTCCTGGCTGAGCCCGGCAGCCTCGCGTCTTCGTAACACTGGTCCTAAGAGTTCCTCCTTCGAGATGCTGGAATTGCAGCGAACCTTGAGAGTGTTGGCATGGCTGCTGGGCCTCGAATTGTGCTCTACGGTAACCACATACTGCTCGGGAACTTCGGAATGCTTGCCGGGCTTGCGATTGCCGGCATAGATCTCATTCAACTGTTGAGTGATTTTCTTAATCTGATCTTTGGATAGAGTGCTGACCAATTCACTACCCAAGTGGTGATCTGTGTCAGTGGTTGAGGCATTACACTCGATTTTCTGTTCCATACTGGTGGTCAAATCGGCGACGGTATTACGTCTCCAGTAGGGACGGGATTGCTGGCGCTGAATCATACTTTCGTGATCCTTCAGCAGTTGCATCTGCTCAAAGTTTTCACGCAAGTCCTCCACGGACTTCTCCTTGGCATGCAGAGCAAAGTCGGCCTCTTGGCGCCACTTAATGTCCGCCACATCCTTGGAACGAAAGTGCAAGTCCTTTTCCTGTTGATCGTGTTTCAGCTTGCCCACCAGATAGTGCAGCTCCTTCTCCGCCCTCTCATGCAGACGCACCTTGCGCCATTCATCAAAGTCCAGCAGCTCGGCATCCTTGCGTATTGGATGAAAGTTGGTTACCGAGGTTGCCCGTTCTAGTTGGCCAACTCGCTCCAGCGTACTGTAGAATCGATTGAGATCGGTGAATCGCTCAGAGTTGTGGCGATAACGACAAGTGGGACTATGCCGTTCCAGATAGGTCAATGAAGTGGCACTATGCGCCAAGTCGCCGCATAAATAGAGTCCGCGTTTCGACCGATCGTCAGCACTGCTAAGGCTGCTGGCGCGAATTATTTTGTTGGCTTGATCTTGCTTCACACTCGAGCGCAGACTGTCAATGCGACGACGTGAAGGCGAGCGCACATTTCGAGATCCAGGTGGAACACGCACCTCCCGGGTGGGAGAGAACTTACGACTTCCACCCGATCTGGACGCCTCATAGTCTGGCTGTGGTGATTGCGGGCGTGCTATGTCCGTAACGGTTGAATGTTTTGTGCCATCGGACTTGCTCTGGCCATCGGGCTTGCTCTGGCTCTCATATTTCCACACCAGATCCTCAATACAACTAGGCTCCGGCTCACCTTCGTATTCATCATATAGTGAATCAGTGTATTGAACTGCAATCTCATGACGCACCGGACTTAGACTGCGTGGATTATGTAATGAACAGTACTTGTACTCGAATGACTCTTCCGGCACATGCCGCTTCTGGAGGTGTTGGGGCTGACCATGCTGGGTGATCGTCAGCGATTGCGACTGTTTGGCGTTGTAATCGTTCCAGAAATTTGTTTTCTCGCGCACTGACTCGCTGTACGATTCCTGTTGTGGCAGCGAGTTATAAGCAGCCTTTGTAGGCGACTTCTGCATCGGTTGGGGTTTCTTGGGTCTGATATTGGTATTTGCTTTGAGAGCTGCGCGCTTGCGAGCAATATGTGTGTCACTCTTACTGCACTGCAATGGTGTAGAAGTGGCAGCCCTAATTGGCTTTCCACTCGTCTTGGACTTGCTCACATAGGTCTTGGGTGGTGCAATTGGTACTATTTCGTGCTTGACTACAGAGTCGATCGAAAAGGTAGAATTGCTGCGCGGCAAACTGTCATTGGAGGCCGACTTTTGGACGGTTGTCTTCACAGTCGTGCTGTTTCTGACGCAATTCGTTTTGGGCAGTGCCTTTTTTAGTGAACGGGTGCAGTCCAGCAAGGTCTGTGGACGAATTTGTGGGAAGCACATAGTATGGCGAGTGGTGGTGCTCACCGTGGTATTGCCAACGGATCGCGAGCTCTGACGCAATCGTGGTAACGATTTACTACGCGCATGCGCATTGCACGTGGCATAAGAACGCACTGCCGCTTTGACATCCTGCGGAGATTTTAGCGAGGGATCGCGCAAAATGTTCGTGCTCGCCTCAAAGTTGGTGCGACTTGGTGGCAATGTATTTTCCAACCGTTTCTTTTCCTCGGCAAAGGTGCGTTCCTTGGAGATGCTGCGGCCAAAAGCCACCGGACTGCGACTACTCTGCCGGAGAGCCATTAGTCGTGCCTGTCGACGTGTAGGACTCACGGAGCGCAGCCGTGCATGATGCTGCTGCTGAACACGTGTCAAATAGCCATCTTTATTGCGCGTCTCATTCGTGGCAGTGAGAGTGGTCAGAAGCGTAGACACGGCACCCGCAGACTTGGATCGGCAGATGGGCTCTCGACGCGAGGATCCGGAGCCATGCTTGCGTAATGTTATGGTGCCATATTTGTTGGCGCCCAACGGCAAACTATCCGGCGGTTGGAAGCATTGCTCGTGCCGACTCCCGAGGGAGCTCGGCGGAACCTTGGTCACTTTTTCGACTCGCACAGTTGTCTTGTTACATGACGACTTTCGATTTGGCGGCAACGGCGGCGGCAATGTTTCCTGTTGCTGCTGCTTTTTATTACTCAACGGAATGAAAGAGGGTAAATTTTTCGAGAAATTCGAGAACATGTTGGTTGTGGTTGAGGGCGGCGGCGGTGGAGTCGGTGGCTTGGGCGCAATCACAGCTTCTTGCTCCGTGTCCGATTCAATCTCTTTGGTGCTGACGCGTATTTTCGTTAGCGTCGGCGTAATCTGTATGAATTCAAATTCTTCCACAAATTCTTTGGGAAAAATATGGGAAAGAGCATTCGATTAGGTATAATTTGCAGGAGTTCTTTTAAGGGTGCTCGTTGCAAATAGTGCTGCTGTAGTTTATAGAGGTTCTGGTGTAAGTGGTACTTTGTGCGTCCAAGTTTCTGCTGTTTCTGGTGACTTTGTGGAGCGAAAAATTGCTGATAACAACATCTAGTGAGCGCAGTACGCGTGATTCTAATTAATAATAGTAGAGCTTATAGACTGACCCTGGCAGAACCAACACCATTGCGGAGATATTAGTCACATTAGAGGAGGAAGATCGCATTAAGACTTATTAGCTCTAACTGTTAGTAAATAAACAATGTGTATTTACGATTATCTATTTTTTTCGTACCTTTGGGTTTCTCGGGCGCTGGCTTACGGAAGCCAAGTAAAGGTGGTTCCCCACCAGCCTGCAGGCTCTTGTAGGCCTGCTTTTGCTCTACTGGACTGAGCGGGCTGCTCTGTGGAAGCTCCTTCTTGCGAAAGACTAGATTGGAATCGCTAGTATAGCCAGATTCTTTGGCCAGCGCTCTGAAATTGCAACATTAATTAGAACAATGGTAACACATTTACTAAAAATCGAGCAACGCATACCTGGAGAGGTTTCCTTCAGTGTACAGTGGCGACAGCTTTGATTGCTCCAAATTCTAATTCAAATAGAAGACAATATTAGTTAAGTGGTGGGAACTTAGTTCTACATTGTAGTATATATAAACTTTGGCTTTTGTTTTTCTTGTTGCATACATTAGTAATTTAGGTGCCTTTTTGTGAACGAGATGATATCTGCTGCTAACTGAATCCATAATTGGGAAAACTTACTGCATATATATCAAAATCCTCGACGAATTCTATTATAATACGCGGTATGCGTGTATGTTCCCTAAGCCACTTTTCATTCAAAAGTTTTTAGGGAGGGAATTGAAAATAGCATGGGAAGAGTTTTAAAAAATATTATTTAACAATTGTTGAACAACGGAAAACATTTTGAGAAACTCAAAGAAGTAGTAGGAGCAGAAACTGAAAAGTGGTCTCATAAATTTAAACTATATCTTGGATAAATAAACTCTAGAATTAAATTAGTTGTCTAGAACAGAACAGAAAAAAATAGAGTTCATACCCCGTTAAAGATGTCCATCACTTCGTCCCACCACTAGAAATGTGAATAAAATATTTGCTGTGTTAGAATATATTTATGTGAACGCAATGAGTGTATAAATGAACGGGCATTATGTACGACTTGGAATTGAGGTGATTTTGAGGAGAAATAGGCTTAAAGCAATTATGAAAAAAAGTTGAAACTCTTAACCACAATAGGTGCCGAGTTCAAATGGATTAGATATTGCTATGGGGCGTGAAAATTGTGAGAGCGAATGGGTAAGCGGTCAAAATTATTTGCTGTGCTGCAAATATACCAAAAGTGCCGGGGCTAGTGCGTGATTGTGGGTTGAATGTAATGCCAAGAGCAGCACTTACTTCCTTCTTTTCCTTCTCGGACACAGATGAGTGACCTGTGGTGTAGTTCTCTATGCGACCTGGTTGATTTTTATATGAGTTCTGCGTAGATTTAATTGGATTGGGCATAGTACCATACAAACTGCAAAAGAGATAGTTAATCGAATATGCAAAATAATTTCTAATCTGTAATAGTCGACTCACTTCTCGTCCTGATGGAGATTGCGCACGTTGACGGCCGAGGATACGGATTGCATGCGATGCGGATTATATGTGCGGTACCTCACTGTTGAGTAGTCGGAGTCGTAATTGGGTTCCGGCTCTGACACATAACCACTGGCCTTGTACGTGGGACGCGCTGCGTGTGAGGATTAATCGGTAAGATAAATAAAGTCTAAGCTAAGGGACGTGCGAGTAGTACTACTGTTGATATTGTCGAGAGTACGAGTATGTTCAGCAGGCATGGTGTTAGCGATTTCCACTGGCTCTAAGCTTACGAGTAGTAGGTGAATAGTGAGGCCTTACTTTAAGTGTTAGTGTTGGATTTAGTAAAAGCGTTTCATACGAGCATTGCTGCTGTGCCGCGTCCAATTTGTCGATGAGCTGAACTGCACAATAAATGTAAATAATATATGGAAACCATAATTGAACATGCAAATAAAATGATAACTACAACTACTAAATAAAATCACACCATTCGGAAGCGCGTCTTCTAACGGCACCGCTGACTACATACGAGTATATACAAGCCAAATCAAAGCATTATGTAAGTACGTACATCTATAGGACTATAAGTATATCAGTATAATAGTATATGAAAGAATCACCTCTTGGACACTTGTAGCGTATCACGAAATCATCTGATTGCGTTAAGAGGATAGAATATTTGCGAACCAAGACAAATCAATCAGAGTGGAAGTTGGAAATTTGAAGCAGATAATCAGAAGTAATACTTGTATTAACATTTTATTGGATAGCTGAAATATTATACAATTTTCAAGGGGAAAGGGGTTGGGATTGTGATGGGGAGAAACAAGGCTTGGTAATTGTATAACATTTCAGTTTCTTTTCCAAACATTTACCGCCATTTTTCTGCTTATGTATGGTCTGGTATAGTCGCTTGTACCATTCATGCTGATGCGGTTCCTGCACCTCCTGAGGCATATGCCGCGATTACGTTTTGAAAAACAGAGAATAGTCAGATATCAAATAGGGCTGCTGCTTGCTTTTTATCAGTCTCTAAGGATTCGAAATGTTACCGATCTGAGTATTATGGGCATTCCATCGTTGGTCACCGGACCGATGCCCTCGTATTGCCGACGACCTAACTGTGCCATTTTGCGCGGACGATCGCTGTCCGTCTCGGGCTCGCTCATATACTCGTGCTTGACTTTGTAGACTGGAAACCGTAAATTGCAATTTTAGTGTTTTAGCTCAAATCGTGATACGAATACAGTGGATTGGTGTTAACATTTAGACTGGTATTGTCTGTGTAGCCCTGTGCCTAATTGTGTAACGACGTGAGCTCGATCATGGATCTTTCATTGGCCATACAGTGGGGCTGTGGCTTAACTCCTCTAAGGGTACTACTAATTCGGCATACTTACTGACTTCATTAGGCCGATAGGCTGGACGGCTTGTGTCTGATAGCTGGCGACGCACGAACGGTCTGCGAAGCTCCGCGTTTGAAGCCGAGCGCTCGAATGCCTCGAGTTCTAAGCATCAGCGTGAGTGGAGAGGAGATTTGAAGGATTTGTAAAATTAAAAAGATTCATTAGCGGGCTGGCTAATCAAGAGAGACAGACTAATTAGAAAGGCAAGGTATTTAAGCAAAACACGAGTGGAGAAAAGGGCAGCAATACGAATATCAACTACAGTACTTTTAATCTTATCCGAAACGCTTGCACTGGCGGGCAGGGGCACGAATTGGGAGGAGCAATCAGTCTCCGCGTAATCAGAGTTGAGAGTCGTGGGCGTGCTCAAGTTTGTGCAGCTATTTGCGGAGCGCGGTGCTGGCAGTGGAGGTGGGGGCAGGTTGGTGTAGGACCACGGCGGTTGTTGTTGCTGTGGTTGCTGCTGATGCTGCTGCTGCTGCTGATGCTGCTGCTGCTGAAGGGCTGTGTAGCGACGAGGCAATGTGGGCGATTCAAAGCGCACCGGACGAAATTCTTTGCGTCCGCTCGATGGCGACGGCTGTGGCGTCCAGATGGGCTGTGTGGGCGGCGGAGGAGGCGTCGGGGCTGCCGATGAGATGGATCCTGCGCGGGTGCTGTCTAACTCATTTGTCGAGCCATATGGTGTTTGACTTTTCGGTGTCCACACGCCTGTTGAAAGTTTGAACGGTTTTATGAGCATGGGAGTGGGAGTGCGTGTGGATGTGGATGTGGGCGTGGCCGTGGCCGTAGGCATCCCAATAAAAGGTGTCAAACATGACGTTCTCAGGGACATACATACTACACACACACACACACACGTGTGCATGTGTATACATTGGAGATAGACATGGAGAGTTGATTGAGTTAAGTTTCGCTTTGTCGCCTGACACTTACACTTGTCAACAGATATATGCATTGTATGCTGCGGTCGATTTCATGATTTCAACGCGCCTTGTTCTTTTTCTTTTCGTTTTTTAAACAAAAATAAATGTTGCAGTCAACAAACTGACCGAAGACAAATTGACAAACAAACATAGCGACGTAGAACAGCAATAATTAATACGACCAAGGAAGCCGCATTTGGCAGACATTCAAATTTTTCGGTCACACGAAAAGGCAACGCACACATACACACACACATTCACATTTGCATACATACTCGTACGTGTGACTATAAAAACGTTTGGGGATGAGTCACCACACTTGGCGCATGTTTAAAATTTACAAACACACACAGACACACACACAAACACACTGTCTGATATAAAATTATATTTGCCCGCAGAACGAGAGGTGTTTTAAATTTTTGACACAGTGAGGATTGCTTCAGCGAAACAATAAGTTCAGAACAAATAATAAAATTTGAGCGTTTAACTCTTTGGGTAAAGGATGTACAAGTATTTAGAAATGTGTTTTCCTTTTTTCAAACTTTATGCATAATCGTTAGTTTTTGGAATGTATCCGAAAAGGGAGATGCTAAGTGATACGATTTTATACCCCGTTATGGGTTAACAAAATAAAATTCTACATAGTTTAAGAAATGATTCTTAGAATTTATCAGAAAAATAAGATTTTAGTCAGCTAGCTCTTGATTCCTTTTCTTACGTAAGATTAAAAGAATGAGTCCAAAAATATGTAATTTCGAGCTAGTTTTGAATTTATATTATATATTTAAATAGCTTCAATGTGAATAAATAAAAATCACTTTAAAGTAGTAATCTGTAATGACCGTAGCACACTAAAAGGTTCCAGGTCTATCGAATGATAGATTAAATTAACAAACGTACATCCTTAAATACATATTTCTTTTATAGTCTGTCTCTATTCGTATTCTCTTTGAAAATCCAGAATACTTGCAAGCCCTGCAAGCTGCTATGATTCTTAGGCTTGATTTATTAGAATACTATACATAGGTTAAGGATCGGCAATTGAAATGATTGAATAGCCCTCGTAAACATTGCAACTCCGACTAGAAAATCTTTTATTATGCAATATAGTTTTATTCGCCACCTGTATAAGCTGCGAAAACCACACATTCACAATCACGGATGCTACTCGTCCTAAGACATTGACACGTATGTCTCACACACACAAACACACACGTACACATTCGCACATTTGATTTTGTTTCGTTTTTAGCTTTCTGTTGGTTTCATTGAGCATATGCCTTTCGTGGGCGCGCTGACGTCTTTATTCAATCAGCACTTAATTGAATTTGGCATATCGAGGGGAAGACAAACAAGGCAAAGAATCATCCTGTCGATCAAACTCCACTCGCATTCGCTAACATTGACTTTTCCATTACCTATCCGTTGCGGCAGGAGACAAGCACAGGTGTTGGTATGCAAAGTTTATAATCGATATAAATAAAATGCACAAACAAACGAAAAGTCCATTAATATTTGCACGGTTCGTAGGGTTCGTAGGGCTCGTAGGATGTTAGGCTTTGGCGTTTGTAAAATCGACTGCTCTATTTTTTATCTGAGTTGCTGACTCCGCGCGCGGCTCGAAGCGACTGAATTTTGCGTGACCCAGCGTCGAGCAGACCAACTCAGTATTATTTCTGTTTTCAGCTTGGAAAGCGCGACTAAATGAAAACCAAAAATAAAAAACAAAAGGCAGCAGCAAAGGCATAAGAGGCGCGCACCAAAACGCAAGCAAATCACAAGCGACTGCTAAATGACTAAACACACCCAGTCAGGGGCAGTCAACAGACAATCACACACATATAGACATATAGACATATAGAGAGACCCACTGCCGGGCCGGGCCGAGCCGAGCCGTTAGCTCCCCAGAGTTCGCCAGTGGCTGAGTGGTTGGGCGTTCCGTGTGTCGAGGCAGCGATTTAAATAGAAGATCAATTACGCTACAATAAACCGCCATCGCTTGCAGTGCCTCAAAAGCTGGGAAAACGGGCCGTGACGGGACGGGATAGGGTGGAGGGGGTGGCAGTGCGGCTTCGCTGCGCAGTGCTCGATCAAGCGCGCACTGTTCAGAGTTCAGAGGCAGCAGCAGTAGCAGCAGTAGCAGCAGGGCTGAAATTAAAAGGCGAATCCATCACAAAAACCAAATAAAACAAAAACCCATTCGAAACAAAAGCAAAGCGCAGCACAGAGCATGTCATGGCAGAGAGTTTTGGAACGCCAATTATGCGTGCGATGCCAATTGGAACGGGTGTGTGCTTACTGGGACTATTTACGTCCATATAACATATAAACACTATACTCGTACAGTATGTACTGACACATGCGACAAAGAGTTCTAGAGTCAATCAAAATGATTTCATTACTTTAAACTTTTGGGGCCGAGCATGCGAGTAATGCGAAAAGTACGCATTTGGTTTGGTCACATACTATACTTGTACAATAGACAATTGTTGTTATGAGTCTAGTCTTTTTGTGGACGCTTGGCACTTCCGCTTGCTGCTGCCTGCTAACAAAATCCACTTTAGAATAAATCAATCGGAAATTTTTGCCATTAAGAACAATGCTTTGAACATGCTAATAAAAGCAACCAAAGCAGCTAAAACTTGGGTGTGTGCCCGCTGCCGCCATCTGAAGGAGCGCCCGCGCTCGTTCGTGAAGAAGAGCAATCGGTGTAGCCAGGCCAGGTCTGGGTCTGGAAATTTGAAATTGGGTTGCCATCAACAGCACAGAATGAGAAAATAGACGACCACATTGAGTCACACTCACTTGGCATTTATTTCAAATTCAAATAATCGATTTGCAAAATGGAAAATCGAAATGCCATTTCGAGAAACGACAACAATGCAGGATGGAGGGAATTTCTTCAACCTACCTGCAATGAGCGCACATTTAATTTTAGCATATTTTCGAAAATTTCCAATAGCGAAACGACAACAGCGCAAGTCATTAATGCCTACTATGGCCTTGTAGAACCTACACACACACACACACACACACACACCTCAAGCACAGATACCTAGAGGTTGAAAGGCTGCGCCCGTTGAACAAACAACCTGTGCCATAAAGTAGGGAGCAACTTGGGAGCTCTCTAAACCATTGAACCGTTGTGACAGAGGCCGAAGGGTGCGCCGCCAACGCATTGTGTTTTTGTGTGAGTCTGTCTGTCTGCCTGTGTGTGTGTGTGCGTGTGTGTGTGCTATCAAATTAAAAGCCATTTTCAAATTGATTTATTTGGTATGCCATTATTCAGTGGACATATTTATGGAGTGCGCTATTCGGAGCATGCAGTGGCTGTGCATCATCAGCCGCCCTTTGAAAGAGGCATACTGTTTTGAAGAATATTCGGAAAATAGGGTGACAGGTTGCAGGGAGATGGTGTGAGGAGAGATAAAATCTTCTTTTTATATTGATGTAAACATATTAGATTGAGAGCGAAATGGATAAAAATGGATTAGATTGCCCTAAAACTTGATAATAAAACCACAACCTGATTTAAGGCTGCAGTAAAATTTTATGGGTTTTGATTAACACAAAGCAAGTGTTTGCCACTTTAATTTAGGAAGACATTAATGTGATTAATCAGGCGCTAAAAATATTTCAAGATACAATTCGCCCATCATAAATGTACATAGTTTTGTTTGCAAACGCTCAAAACAGCTTTTTAGTGAGTAAAATATTGAACATGAATTACAGATTCAGAGAAAGGCAAAAAATATAAAGTTATAAATCGTACAGGAGTCGTACCATAATATTGTTTATAAAAATGCTGCTCACTTAAAGCAACTCCATCGTCGCATTGCACAGTTCATTCACACAATGAATGTATGCATTTCGTGAGAATGTTACATCATAGTTTCTTAAATTTGCTAGTCCCTATAAAGAACCAGAAATCATTCTACTTAGTGAAATTGTTTGTTATACTTTCACTCGAGCCTATAAAACTAGATGTATGTATATTGTTTGATGAAAAATGTTCTTTAGAAATGTTCAGATTTCGGCCTTTTAGCCCTTAGCATATAGTAATATATATGTTCAAGTTCAACGCAATTTATAACAACAATAAATTTTCTTTAGTCACTAAAAGTCGCCACATTTATATTTGTTTTTGTTTTTGCACGCAGTAAAAAAGAAAAACACATAGCCAAGTTTTAAAAATAACAACGTACAAATTAATGCTTTAAATAAATATAAACGCCCATATAGACATTTAAACCCCAACAGAATGAAGAGAAGAAAAAAAACTGCGAAAAATAAAGAAATTTCATAAATACATAGATATACTGAATAATGCTGTTAAGACTAAACATTAAGGCTGGCACAAATGAGATCAATACACAACTGAATGAGCAGCCGATGAAAACACTAACGCCTTTGACGTTATATCAGAAAGCCATCGCATAATGACGCCAATCAAAAGCATACAAAATCAACATAATCGCCAACGCGTATACGTATTTTGATGGATTATCTGTGCGCGACCATAAGGTGTAGAAAACTCATCCACAGACACATACACACACACACACACACACTCATACACATCATCAGCATCTTTAGTGCGAGCGTCAGAGCGTTAGAAGCGATATGGAAACACTACTATTATGGACGGAAACTATTTTCCATCCATCTGGCCAAGACTTTCAGTTTATTCCCCAGTTTTATGGACATTGTAAATAGCAGCTGTGGGCGGCTAACAACATCGCAGAGCTTCGATCACGGCGATGAGCACATTGCAAATATATTGTAATAAATATCGCCTAAACATTTTTCTATTGTACGTCATTTTATAAATATAGAACACATTTGATAAACGCGCACCTCCAGTTCCAGCTGGACGATGCTTGCTATATGGCTGAGAAGTTTGTGAAAATTTGCCAGGAAAATTAACTAATGTGAAATATTTTGAGGAAAGATATGAATAGAATTATATTGTGAAATCAGAAATCAAGTTCAACGGTTTGAAATAAATAAACTATACAAAATCTTAATAAAACATGTGCAAGAAATGCCGAAAACAGCCGACAGTAAGCGAAACAAAATGAAACTGCTATATAAATACAAGGCAATAAATTTAAACAAATACCAAAACGCTTCTGAAATTTTTCAAAATGCCATCGGGGATAGTTGATTAAGGCTGAGCACAATAAATTCGAGTACATTCCAGACTGAAAGACTACATGAAGCACGATTTCTGTCTGCGTACAATCAGTTTTTAGCCAAAAGTTATATAGTGTTTATCAATCAACTTAAAGGGGTAGAAAAAAGATGAAAAATACATTTAATGCTGAATTTAGGCATTCATTCATTAATGACAACCACCCAGACATTTGAAATATCGAAACTACTGACCCATTGAAAACGTCATGTTCGCCATTTATGATTGTCACGATTTGAGTCAACGCACACATCACGCTCTTATCCAAGACTTTAGTTTGTATGTGCGAGTAGGAATATTCGGATATAGCAAAAAGCTATATGCATTAATATTTATCTGGCGACTTTTACCTGTGCCCGCTGGCGCTCGTGCTTTAAATTTAGGTGCGAACATTGTCGTGTTTTGCGTGTGTTCTACAAAATATTTCGTTTTGATAGTTAACAAAAAATTACAAATCAATTAAGTAATATCAATTTATGGTTTAAGTAACACAAAATGCATTTAAAGGTCACTTTTAAATATGAGTGCTTAACAACTCATTTCACTTCATTGCTTGTGTATGCCATTTTTCAATTTTCCACATTTTTCTTCAGCCCGTAACGGAAGAGACGCTACAAGTGCGCCACTTTGCATTTGGAAAACTACAAAGGAACTACGAGTCTATGAAGGCCCACAAACAAATTATGGGAGAGACCATTCAAAAAACTTTCTGTAAGAACACACAGCGAACGCTCGACTAACCCTGCCCCATTTTCCCGTGCTGTTGCTGCTAATGTAGTTGTTGCTGTTGTTGGTCGTAGTGGAAATACGCTTTGATTCTTTTATTTTTCACTTCGACTCAATTTTTCACACCACTGCCTGCATGCGTCTTCGCGTTGCGCACACGACTTTAACACGACGACGACTACGAAGGCGTTCGAAGAACACTTTTTCGGCACGAAAATTTGTACAAGTTGCTTGAATTTGAATTTTCTTAAATTTGTTCATTTTCATTTTTTCTTAGCCGCGCGCAACGAAAATCTCAATTTGTGTGAGCGTAAAACAACAAATTTGTTAAACATTTGTTGGTGGTTTTTGTTGTTGCTGAGAAAACGACTAAAGAAACATCGTTTTATTTTAATTTTTTTCCATTTCTCTAATATAAACAAAAAAAACTTTCGTAAACAGACAGGAAGAGGAAAAGTGGAAAATAAAAAACCGTTCAAATTGTTCACACATCTTGAGTTTTGGGCCAGTTGTTTATTGAGCATGCGAGACCAATTCACTGCTGAGCGAAATGAGCAATTGAGTGGCACGGAGATTGTTCAATCAGATACCAAAAGACAATGAGGCAGAAGGAGAAGCGGAGGCAGAGCTCTAAAGTGGGCCATAAATTTACTCAAGTGTAGGCGGAGAGAAATGAATTTGATTTGACCAAAAAGCCAAATTGATCTTGTTGCTCACGTCGTATACACAATTTTTCTTTAGCACCAAACGCTGTGTTGTTGAATTTGCGTCGCCAAAAAGTATTGCATACTTTTGGGCAGAAAATAAACGCAAATGTAGAGAGAGCTGCACAAATATAAATTAAATTAAACATATATTGGAACGTGGATAAACAATAAATGTGATACGAGCGCAGCTTGAACTTGTCTGCAAATTTGTTCGAATAATTTGGCCAATTAGCATGCTGTACAGAGCGTCGCTCGCATCCGCTGGACAATAATAGGTGAGGGGGTAGCATATATGAGTATATAAGTACACATGACACAGGTTAGAACAAAAAGCGCACTAGAGAGGGGTAGCAGGATCGACGGAGGCTAGATCGAAGGGTTGTCTGGGTTGTCTCTCACCACCCACCATTGGCAAAGAGGAAGCCCTTGGCCAGCTGCAGTTCATTGTCGATCTCCTTGAGCAGATCGCTTTCGGACCAACTGCGACGCTGGCGCTGCTTCTGTAGTTGCTGAGCGTTGAGCAGGAAGCGTGTCTGCTTGCGTGATGATAGAGTGTTATTGGAGCGCAGCTTCACAGTCGGCGGCAGATGAGCCGTCTGCTGTGGCTGTTGCTGTTGTTGTTGTTGGGGCTGCTTGTGGCGCGGCAGTTTGACGCTTGCGGTGCTCCTGCGCTGCGACTCCTTTGTTCCCTCTTCTAGTGGCTGCTGCTCTTGCTTGCTAATTGTTGTTAATGCTATCAAAATGGTGGCAATATTAGTTCTTAGCCCATAGCGGCATGCAATTCTAAATCTAATCTAAAAATCTTGATCGGACTCTGTGAAATCTGCACATCTGCTGCCCTCAATTTTCGTTATGTGCATTTCGCTTATTTTCTATTTCTATTCATTTTCTCATGCGAATGTGTCAGACATTGCTGCGCCCCTTAAATGGGTCATTTATGTAGTTGATGCTGCTGTTGTTGTTGCGCACAACGTGCTTTTAAGCATTACAAGCAAATTGCTTGTTTGTCTGGGGCCGCCCAGACTCTACTTGTATACTCGTACGACCATGCGCCAACGAATCATGTAACAGAATGCACTTTGTTTTATGGAATTGAACGGAATTAATTAAAATTTCCGCTTAATCGCGCTTTTTCACTGTTGTTCTCTTTTCCGTTTTTGCCCGTTCGCCGCTCTTCACTTTACTTTGAAGAAGATAAGCGGTTACAATTGCCTTAAGTAGCGCAATGGGCGCGGTCATTACAAATGGCTTAAGTTTAAGTGCGGCAATTAAGTTCAAGAGTTTTACGTTTTAGAGGCGAAGTTTAGGCATATAAGTGTACGCGTATGTATATATATATAAAATTATCAATGGATGAGGCGCAAGAGCTAAGCTACATACTAATTATATTTTACAAATTGATAATGCAGCTTTAAAATTATTTCTAAAAAATGGTATGGGACACATATACACACACACACACAGAATGTTAAAAAGCAATGCATAATTACAAATGCAAAATGTCTGCCCTGCACACGAAGGGGAAAATAGTTTGCTGGCGTATAAATATTATTGCATGCACTTAATTCAAAGAACTCAAGTAAAAAATAAATAACATCGTTTTGTTAATCATTTTTATTTATTAAACAAAATTACGATTAATATTAACAACAATTCTTGCACAAGGCCAACTCTATAAATGTTTATTATTTCTGTATTAATAAATCATTGTCAAACAATTAAAAAACATTTTGACAAAAAAATTTCTGAAGTGATCTTTTTTATTTCTTTTAATTTTCCTAAGACGGCAGCATGCCAAGTGGAAGGAATAGCAATTAGAAGCATTTACAATTCCATTAGGAAGATTGTTTGATTCTGGTTCTGGTTCTGATTCTTTGTCCGGGGTTCAGGAGCTGGGACTTAAAAACTGTTTGCCGAATGTTCAAAATTGCGCCAGTACTTGTCAAATTCTTCGAAGATTTTCGACCGAAATGGCGAACCGGCAAAGAAACCGTCGTCAAAACTATCTGGATATTTGAAGCCATTGAAGTTGGAACTCGGTCTGAAGGTGGTGTTCATACTGGGTGGATGAATGGCATGCCGTGGATCATGCATGCGTGTTCTCTGTGCTGTTGTAGCTGTAGACGAGGCTGCTGTTCCTGTTGTTTGTTCTGTTGCTGTTGTGTTGGACTCAGTGTCTGTTTCTTGATCAGTTTTAGTTTCAGTTTTTATTTGGGTTTCGTTTTTGACTGTTTCGACTTTGGCTGTGCAGGGAGGCGACTTGAAAGACTCGTCGTCTGTGCTCAAAATGGGCGCGCACACGCAATAAAAGAAGTTAAAATAAAAAACAGACACGTAGAGAAATCCAAGGAAAAGAGAGAGAGAAAGGAAAAGAACTAGATATTGTAGATACAAATTGGTGCACAACAATTAATGAGAATGAGTGTGTGATATACAGTGGAAATGTAGGGATGACTGTTCACCAATTTGCGACACATAGAGATGATACACAAGGAGACACAGAGGATGCGAAGAATGCAGGTGAAATCTTAACTGAATTTATTCCAGGCCGTCAAAATGGACAAGCCCACTAGCAGGGCAGTGCCCAATATATTACCAGCACCCAGGGAGGATTTGGAGTTGGAGTTGGAGTTATTATCAATTGTGTTGCTTTGGGATTGATTGGAGGAGGCGGAGGAACCTTTGGAAGCAGAACCACTACCAGTTTCAGTTGCGGGCGAGGAGCGACAGGAACTAGTTACAGAAGCTGTAGCATGTTGTACATTATTACTATTATCGAGTTTTATAGTATTCGAGCGATAACGATAACGATTAATTGACTGATTATTATAGGTATTACTACTAGGACCAGTGCAGCTCATTGCCCCGCATTTGGCACTGCCATTGGACGAACACTCACCCACGGATGGCGGCAGTCGGGACACCTTGTACGTCTTGACAACGGATGACTTCTTAGTGGCACTGCTTAATGAGTTATCGGTGGCCTCTTCTCGGCGTTCTTCCTCCTCGTGCAGCTCACGCTGTCCACCCTCGATTTGCTGCGTCTCATGGTTCGAGAATTTGGCAAACTCGCGCAGATGACGCGGCAGCTGGCGCAGATTTGCCTCCGACTTGCCCTCGATAATGCGCACTGGTGGCACCTCGACGTCTGATTCGCTGGCCTGCGCCTGCGCATACGGCTGCGATTCCGCGCCACTCTCCCAGTCACTGTCCGCCGGCATCGACAACTTGGTCCTACGCTGCTTGACACGATCAAGGAACTCATCGCTGATTGCATTGGCACCCGCGGTGTGTTCTTGCTCATTATCGTGTATTTTCGATATCTTGATGATTTTGTGCAGTCGTCGCTCCTCACGCTCGGCTACCTTGTTCAGCCATTCTTCGGCCATTTGCTGACGGAACACCTCATCTTCGGTGAGTGTGGGTAGCTTGGGCGCTGGCCGGTAGCTTTCGCGACGCTGTGGAGGTGGTATTTGAGGCGCCCTTTGTATTTCTTCCAGCAGCCTACGACGTTCGTTCTCCAATCGCTCAAACTCCATTTTCAGTTCTTGCTCCTTGGATTGTATGTACTTCAACTGCTGTTCATGAAGCTCCCGGGGCAGAGAGGAACGACGTTGGCGATCATATTCAGGTGGCGCCACCATCGGCCGCGGTGGTGGCTGCGGATGGGGCGCCGGCGAGACACCACGGCGCGATGTGGTACTTATGTACGTAGGATTAGGGTTGCGCTCGATCATGGAGTAGCAGCTGGCATAGTGCGGCCGTTGCTGTTGCGGAGCCTGGCTAAGCATCGGAGCATGCGTGCGCCGACCTCCATAGGCATTAAATGTGTCATAGCTTTGATGACTGGATGTTGACAAATCATTCGTGGAGACCGAAAGACGAGGAGCACGAATGCTGTGCGTCCCTCTTGGGTTCTGCCGTTGATAACAGATCTCCACTTCCCGGGCAAACGGTCGGGCAATGTTCTCCGAGTAGCCCAAGTCATTAGCATAGCGGCCCCAATCATCCTGTTGTGGTTGCGCATAGTTATAACCATAGTGGCCCACTGAGCTATGTGGACGTGCGTCGGTAAGATTGCACATGGACTCGGCACGCCTATATCGCGGGCCGTTCTCATTGAGAGAAGATTGGGGCGGAGGCGGTGGTGGTGGCGGGGACTTTACATCATAGTTCGCCTCCACTTGCACAGGAATTTCGTATGTGCGTGGTCCAGGGGACTCAAAGTTGCGAGGCACGGACATGCGCTCCTGACGGGCCCGTGCCGAACGCTCTATTTCGCGCTCCAGTTCCATCATGTGTTCATGACGCCTCTGCTTGAGCTGTTCTAGTTGTTGCTTCCCACTGCATGTCAACCGGCTGAGATCGTACAGGGAGCTGGATTTATCACGTTGCTCCCGCTTGGCACGCCCTGTTTCTAGCTCGGTGTGCAGCTGTTGAGAGAGCGCATCGAAATCCTTGAAGAGGTTTTCATGATCGAAGTAATTACCTTGACTGTTGGGCTTAGCGTTCGTTGTTGATGTTGCAGATTTAGATGTTGTAGCATTTTCTGTTGCTGGCGCTGTTGTTGTTGTGTCCTCTGCTGGCATGCCCAACGCCTCGGCGGCCGCCTTGGCACGTTGCCTAAATTCCTCATAAGTGTTGTTAATGTCTTTTTTGAATGTGGATGACAGTCGGACGCTTTCGCTCTCGTTGCGGCTCTCATGGTTTCTATTTTCGTCGACGCTCTTTGTGGTTGCTGGCTGATCAATGAAAGTGCTTCTTGGTGTGTTCGTTCCATTTAATTTTAATGCTGACATAATTTGCTCTTGGCCACCGTTGCTTACCATGGATGGCGGTGGCGGCACGGGCGGTGCGCAGTCCACCTCATCCACATCTCTAGTCACGGGTATATGCACCTCCTTTGGATGTTCGCTGTTAACGGCAGCAGTAGAAGTTGTTATTGGCGGTTTTTCGCCCTCCTCCTTTTTTTCATGGCTGGAGTTGCTGTAATCGTAAACCACTTGTCCATTTTCAGTGCGCTTCTTGGATTCGTAGGAACTTGTCTCGATATTGGAGTATCGCTTGGGCTGTGAGCTCCAAGGCTGTTGATTACTTGGCTCAATATTGGAGAAGCGCTTACGTTCGCCAGCAAAAATGTCTCCCTGTTGGGCGATGCTGGGAAACAGGCGCGCAAGTTCGCTCTCCATACTCTGCATCTGGGCACTGGGCTGAGAGCTGGATGGGAACTTGGCATCGCCGCTACTGTTCTTGCTGCTGGACATGTAGCTATGACTTTTGGTGCTCGACGTGGATGTCTGGCTGTGACTCTGACTGTGGCTCTGCTGTTGCGTGGCGGTGGACGTTCGCAAGGGCAGTGCTGGTGGCTCTCGTTGACCGGCAGCAGCGGCTGTGGCATCGTGTTTGTCAGCTGGTCGCCTTGAGTTATTTTCATGTGATGATGGCGACGATGTTGTCATCCCATTTGCATTGCCATTCGAATGTGTTGGTTGCTGTAGAATTTCGTCCAAACGCTTTTGTAGTTGCTGCTGTGAATTTGCGAAAGGTGTTACGCTCACGCCATCTCTTGCGTCATCAACTTGGACGGATCTGCTGCCGGTATCTGCTGAGCTCTTTGGCTTTGCCTTTGCTGCCGTCTCGGAGCTTTTCACGGGCACTGGTGGGGGTGGAACGGGCGGCGGCGTTGGTGTGAGACTCTTACGTAATTGCTTCATGATAGCCGCAGTCTTGAGTATTTGCTGTTCTTGTTCCAGCTTCTCACTATTGATGGCACGCACTTGTTCGGCGCTCAGTTCGTGATAGCCGCGGCGTTCGACAAACTTTTGATGAGCATCCAGCAGCTGATCAGCTGCAGGAGTCGATTGCTCATTGATTAGCGCTCGCTGACCGGGAGAGAGACAAACGAGCAACTTGGGATCAGCATCGGTAGGTAGACCCAGCCAGGCATCGTAGTTATTAGGTGGTGCTGGAATAGGTGGAGGCGGTGGCGTGGAGGAACGCGGCTGCGCAATGGCAACCGTATGGGCGGGTTGTGCCTTCGATGCGCCTGAACCAATGGCACCACTGGACAGCGATAGCTGCAGTTCCCCGATGTGGGGCAAGTCGGGCAGTGGGTAAGGCATGCCGGAGGTTTCACTTTGCTGCTGCTGCTGCTGCTCGGCTCTTACCTCGCCAATATTCTGCGCGACGTTTGCCAATTCCTCAAGAACCTGTTCGCCGTAGGGCATGGAAGCCACCGTCTCGGTGCATAGCAAGCGCAGTTTCTTGATGGCACTAGAATCGTCTCCGCTGGCATCTGAAAAGGTGTCAGGCTGCTCTAGTTGTTGTTGCTGCTCCTTCGCCAAAAAGTCATAGCAATGTGAGGAGGTTGGTTGTGCAGGTTGTGGGGATAAAGAGGTTGCGGTTGGCGTTGCAGGTGAGACAGGTGTGGGCGAGGCAAATGTGGGTGGTGGCGAGGCAACATGTATGGCCGTGCATTGACTGTGTTGTGTGCTGTCGGAGCAATGAGAATCACATGACTCCTGACGCTTGAGCAAAAATTGTGTGGGTGTAGTGTGGCTGTCAATACTATCTGTCGGTGGTGCATTTGTGTATTGTGTGGGTGGTGGAGGTACGGGGGGTGCTAGCATACCCACGCCCGCGGCCTCTTCACTCTGCCGCAGCGAGTCGACCAATTCGCGCATCTTGTCCATATCCGCGTTAGTTTCGAATGTTGTGGACGTAGTTTCCGTAGTTTGTATTTCCGAGCGACGCACGTATTTTTCGCGCGAACCCGTTGAACCGGATTCACATTCACCGTCCGTGGCCGCACTTGAAGCAAAACTAGCGGACGCATTGCGATTTTTGCCAACAGCATCCAAAACAGCAAAAGCAGAGAGCGTTTGCTCATTATCAATTTGTTCAGATTCTCTTGGCACTTCCAACTTTGACACCTCATTGGCAGTGGGCTGCGGCGCAGGCAGCGTGGGCGTAGGTGATGTTGTGGGTGTGGGTGTCGTTCGCTCCGACTGCGCCGTCGCATAAAGTGAGGAACGCGAGCTGGCAACTGATGGCAGCTGGTTAACAGGTGTGCTCTCACGACTCTCTGTCTCCACTTCCGTCTCTACCTCGGTCTCAGTGTCGTTTGATGACGTAGCCGGCTCGGTTGTTGTGCTGTCATCGTCGCCAATAGATGCTCCCGGTCTTTCGATCAGCGCACTGGCATCAGTATCCAAATCGACAAGCGTCCGCTCAGCCAAAGCTGCAGCCTGCTCCAGCTCCAGTTCCATTAAATCGGAGATGCTGCTCGAGCCGGAGCTGCTCAGATATACTAGTTCGGCATCCTCGGATTGCGGCGAGAGCGTGCTTTCAAGACGACTGCAGGCTTCTTCAGCTCCCGGCTGTTCCAGCAGTTTTGTTTCCAACTTTAGGGCTACAGGTTCCTCACGACCCGCTCCGCGTTTGTGTCGCCGACTAAAGTCCAGCTGACTTCGAGGAAATGTTTCCATGGCCTTGGCCAGCTTAGCCAGCGCTTCGTGGGCACGTTCTTCGTTGCTTGTGTTGTTGCTGGCAGAACGACTCAACGCATACTCGCTGCCCGCATCGCTGTTCTCCTCCAGTATGCTGTCCAAGTAGCGTGGACTGAGCAATTGTGGCAGAAAGTGCGATTCAAGTGCATTGCGCTTTTGAGCACGCTTGAGACGCTGTTCCTCCCGACTGCTCGGCAACTGTTGCAGCTCGGGCGAAGTAGTTGGCACATTGGTAGGTGATGTGGTGGTTGTAGGGGTGGTGCTTGTCTCTGTTTCCGACTCTACTTCACTGACCAATGGCGACTGCTGTTCCACATTGAATTCGCCGGAACTAAGGTCACCATTCAGTTCCTGGATTTGAAGGTCACGCGCAAATCGAGAGAACTGCGAGCTGCTGGCCACGTTCTTGGGCGATTCGACGAGGTAACGGGGAGTGGGCGATAGTGTGCCTGCCTCGCTGTGTGCAGGTGCAGTGTGTATCTCTTCAATGTGCGGCTTCTCGTGCTGCTGCTGCTGCTGCTGCAGCTTACCTTTACGTTTGCGCTCCTCCTCATCCGTTTCGAGACGTATTTGATGTATGATCACCTTTGTGCTGCGCTGCTGGGAGGGTGAAGAGGCGGGCGCTGCCGCGGCAGAGGCGGCATCTTCCTGTTCGCGCACAATGCGATGCACTATGACCTTGGCTTGTTTAGGACTTCCACCAGCTTGCAGTGATTGCCGCTCCGGTGACTGTGGCTGTTCCTGCTCCTTCGCTGTTGGTGGTTGTTGCTCGTCCTGCTGTTTCTTCGAACTCTTGGCACCCATTACGCTGCCGGTGTTCACTGCACTATTCAAAGACTCGGCAGTGACTGCAATTGTGGCAGCAACGGTTGCACTTGCCGAGCCCTCTTCAGACCTCTCTAAAGGGGCACTGCTGTCGTGATTGTTGCTGCTGTCTTCTTGATTATTATTGCTAGTGTTGTGGTCGCTGTTTTGATTTTCTCTGGGGTTGTTGATGTTGATGTTTTCGTGGGTGTCTGCTGCGTCTGCTATGCCTGCCACAGCCTGCTCAGCATCAATACGATCATCATCTTTGTCGCTTGTTGTTGCCGGCACATTTGAAATGTTGCCAGAATTTGCATTATGAGCCTCGTCGCTCGCCGCTTCCTGTTTAAATTCCTTTAACTGTGCTGCCTCTGTCTCTACCTCAACCTCTTCTGCTGCTACTTCTTCCGGCTGCTGTTTGTTTTTGCCGCTAGTGCTGTTGTTGCCGTTGTTGTTGTTGTTTTGATTTTGATTTTTATTGCGCTTGTTACGATTTCGGTTTCGATTGCGATTGCGGTTATTTGGCATCGTCTACGTCACACGCACAAAGGGCTAACTACAGAACACTTTGAAACCTAAATGGCAAGATGGGATATGTTTATGTAAGTGTGCCCGTGCGTGCTATTTTTTCTGTACGTGTGTATACTATGTATAATTTTATCTTTTTTCTTTGTGTGTATGTGGTTTGCGCGCTTTGCTGTCTGCTCGATTTCTTCTTCAATAATAATTCTTCTTAAAATGTTTCATTTCGTATTTTTTCCTGTTCGTTTTTCTACGTTGTCGTTTTATTGTTGTCGTTGTCTTGGCTTCTCTGAGCTTCTGTGTCACTCGTCGCTTTGGCTGCCAGAAACACACTAGACGAGTATTTGACGCCAACCGGCACGCGACGCTCGTATTTAAATCCGCTGCGACGCGACCGTTTTTCAATTAAACGTCCGCCTCTCACTGGCCCGGTAAATTGACACGCACTCGCTTTTTAGCCACTGTATTCAACCGTAGTCGTATACACCGATTTGTATGCGCTTTCTTTCAATGTGCCTTCATTTCATATTTAATTGTTGGCCAAAATACTTTTTGCGTGTTAATTTCTAATGCGATTCTCTATTCAATTTCGCTCTCGTTCGTCGCTCAACGATTCGCGCATTCTCGCATTCTCGCTTGCGTTCGCTTTCGCGTTCCCGTTTCTCGCACTGTCGGCAGTGGAATGGACCACAGGCTAGTTTGTTTAGCAGCTGGGAGCAACACTCGGTCGATGCAAATGAGCTAAGCAGGCACAGGCCAACAACAACAACAACAACAAGAACGAAATCAACAACCAATTGGGAATAATAATAATAAAGTTGCTGCCGCTGCCATTGCTGCTTCCCGCTGCCAAATGAAGATCATTTTAAAAATACATGCGCGTAGCTGTGAAAGAGCGGCATGGGAGCGGAAGCAGAGAGCGGGCAGTCGCGGCTGTCCCCATCGAGTAGGTGGAGAAAGAAATCTAAGTACAACACAGCCAAGAAGAGGCGAGTGCAGGGTATTCGGTATTGTCATTTGTACGCTACACTCGCCACAAATTGTGGAAACGAAAACAGAGCAACAAACCATTAAACTAAACTAAACTACTTTCTTAAGAAACAAATGCAATTTTTAAAATTGATCCTAGAGAGGCATTTGCGAATTCTGGGGGGAGCATATACTCGCATTTGCTTTTGCAATAAAGTTACTTGTCAAGCAACTAAAAATTCCACACGTGCTGGAGCAGCCTAGTAGTTATTAAGGAATTATTCAATTATGTACATATAAGGGTTGGGTCGAAACAATTTTGAATGAAAGCGCACTGAATTCAGCATTATTGTATTGTCAGCATTATTGTATGCTGAATTTTAGAATTAATTATGCATATCGGCTACCTTCTTTTTTATGCTGTCTCTATCCAAATTGTTTGAATATGTAGAACGTTCATTGAAACCTGACTGATCGCTTCTTTTAAAAATAAGGGATCTGCATATAAAATATGATGTATATTAAAACGGAAGTTTGCTAGTTTAAAAATTAAAATAAATAGTATTGTCACCAAGAAGAGTCATTTTAAAAGTTGGCTGTCCTGTTGGCAAGGCAGACAAATTCGGAACCGATTATAAGATTCCGCAATTGGGTTTATATAGAAAATTATTTTGTCAGATTTTAAGTATAGAAGATTCTGTAAGCTAGTACTATTTAATAATATCATAATTGTAAAACTATAAGCATTTGAAACTAGCTGTAGCTACCATTACAGATTGCAGATAACACCGTGCATCTAATGTTTTTCCAATTTGCAGCTAGAATATCTATTCTCAAGAACCCATACTTGAGCGATAAGTTCTATACCACGGGTATACATATATTGTATTGTATTCAAATACCCACAAAAGACTCGTGAAGCGCATGCAGCAAAAACACGGAAATAGTCTCTGGCGCAGTATGTCTGTCCAACATCCAACTCGAATCCAAACTAACGTGCTAGTTTTGAGTGTGAGAGTGTGTGTGTGTGTGTGTATATGCTCGAAACTTATGGCATTTTCAAGATGTTTTTCGTGCGTAATTTCTTTTGATTTTTTCTATGCTGCTATTTCTCCTCAATTTTTTGTTGCTGCTGCCGCTGGCTGGGTGTACTCTTGAATAATTTTTACGAGTTAAAATTGAATCAGTTTTCGTTTGACCGCATGTTTTGGTGACTGTATATCTGTGTGTATGTGTGTTTGTGTCTGGCATTAGCACACATATATGAGTGTGTATGTGTGTGTGTGTGTGCTTGTATGTGCATCTGCACTCGTCTACTGGGCCATGCGGTTAGTAGTAGTCGCGTTATTTTTAAAGGTACTTAATGGATTTCAATTTCTCCTTTTGCTTTCATTCGGCGTCTCTGGCTCTGTGTGTTGTATAATTTAGTGGGTCTTTCCTTTCGGTTTTTCTCCGGCATCGTGTTGTTTGTTTAAAACGCAAATAGATTTGTGAGCTGGCGCTGTGTGGTGAGTAGTGAGTAGTGAGTGGAGTTTGGCAGGTGCCAGACGACAAGTGCGAAGCGCACGTGTGGCAAACAGACTGCTCGCGATTATGCAACTGTGGCAGAGGCTATACTTTGTCTGCCCATTAGTATTAGACAGCTAAACTGCAACCTCAGCGTATGTAAGAACCGCAATCCGAGCTTTGAGAATCAACCACTGCAACAACTGGCTAAGTGAGCTGCTAATTGAGCAATATGCAAACCACAAAAAACACCTAACTATGGCAATTACTGAATGATATTCTTACTTTAAAATCCATTTTAATGTCACTTCCGCTGTACACTTCGTGTAGAAAAAAATGGCAAAATGATCAATCATTTAAATTATAAGTGTCTAGAATGGGATTTAATTATGTTTCTGTACATATCTTTACTTCATTTTATCTGTGTGAACAGAAAGACATGGCATTATTGTACATTTGTGATGACGTAAAGGGCTGGCGGTCTTTTTAGATATTTTTGCCACGGCATATCGAGCAATTCGACAGAAATATTTGAAATGGTGCTGCAAATAGCAACAATGTATTGAACATAAATATTTTTAGGAAATGTATGTTATCTGTGTGCTCGATAACAAACAACATTTATTGATAAAGATAGCTCGTTGAAATGTTTCCATTCGTTCTTTGAATAAAGGATCTGGGAAATATTTTACGTAAAATATGCTAAAAAAATATTATTTGATATTTTAAATTTCGTTTTAAATGAAATCAATTTAAAGTCTCAGGCTGTGCCACACTCTGGGCGGGGGCATAGAAAATCGTGGCCAGCTAATGCTAAACCTAATTACACATTTCAAAACAGCGGTGGACTTTCCGTTCTCGTTGCCGTTGCTGTTGCTGTTGGGGTTGTTGTTGTTGTTGCAGCTAATTAGCATAGATTTTCAAACGTTTCTATGGCCACTGCTGGTTGTGTTGTTGCCGATTCTCTATTTGGTGCTATTTGTCTACACTTTTGGTTCGACTATGGTTTGTTTTGTTGTTGTTGTTGTTGTTGGTTGCCATAAACTTTGACTGGATGTTGCTGTTGTTATTCCGTTCGCATTGTTTACGTATACGTTATGTATTTGGGCAACGTGAAGCGGCAGCCCAGGCCGCATCGTCCCCATCATCCAACACACAATACTTACAAGCAGGCGCATGTGCTTACAATTTGTTTGCTTTTAACACACAAATGTATAGTCCAACTCAAAATAAGAATCAAACTCAAACACAAAGCACACAGCACATACGAGTACAAACACAAACAAAAACAATATTTACTAAATTAATTCATGTTCCGTACATAATACCGCTCGTCCGCCACCCACCAAAAATAAAATGTTGACGTCTTCGTTTATAGTATGTCTGCGACGTCACAATGACGCGCGACCACCCATGCCACGAATTGGATGGACAGTGTTGTGTAAAAAACTTCCAATAACTTCACCAGAATACGACAAAATCGAAAAGTTCAAACTTAAACGCAAAGGTCAGCGTCAGTGGTAATGCGGCAAGTTAAATAAAAAAGCGAAACAATCTGAGCTGCGCATTTAATTTCAATTAATTACAAATCGCAAAGACGCTTCAAAGGCGAATTTGCCGCGTTGTTCAGTACACGGCGTACTTGCGTCAACTGCGGCGCAAATAGAAAAGGCCAAAAGACTCGCGTGCCCATTGGGCCGACAGCACAGGCGGCACTGACGCCAGCGCCAACAACAACGTCGCTGCCGACGTCAGCAGCGTGGCAAGAGCGCACAAAGACGTTGATTGTCTGCCAGCATGGGGCATGCACGAGTACGAGTATGTGAGTGTGTGCGCAATTCATTTGAACGACCCGAAGGGCTGCACAGAATTGCATAAGGTTTTTGGCGCATACTCCTGCCAAACCAAAAATCGCAAAAACTAGCATTAGAAGATTTTTCAGGCAGTCCGGCAAGCTATGCCCCGATCTAAAGCCATAGCGGCCAGTGTTTCTCTCGGACGTCGCTGAGAAGAGATTTTTGCATAAGAAGGAGAAAAAACAGAGAGAGAAATCTCTTAATAGGTGAAGAAATTCGTTGTAGCTTGAATTGATCCAATAGGAACTACAAATTAGAATAGTATGACCTAAAGGGGGTATGAATCAAAACAATACCTACGGATGGTTAATAAGCACAAGTCTGTGAGGGCAGAGTGAAAACATAAAATTGGAATCCCAGCTTGAACTACAAAGACATAAAAAGAAGACAGAATCCTGCCTGATTCTTTCCATCTCAAAGCCAACCGATGGCATTTTCAGTCACTTGAACTGTGAAAGCTATCAACAATAAGCTGCCATGTGAAAAACCAAAGACATTTAATCTCAAATATATGCCTCATTGATGAATAACTGAAAAACTTAATACATTCTACTTTTACAAAACAAAGTTTTACCAGCATTTATAGTTCATTAGCTCAGTAAAAAAGTATTTAGCTAGTAAATAAAATTGTTAACTACTTACATATACAAAATCTGTTTGTACTTTTATGGTTCATTAAAGTTGTTAAACTGATATCTGCTATCTATTTCAGTGTAAAAAAATAATGCAACTACAGTTAAGCTGGACACTGACTTTGACTCTGATTTAATGACTCAGCTGTGAATAAGGGGGACTCTTAACCTTAAATGCTGTCAGTTAAATCGGATTCCTACTTTTTGGAAAATTTAGCAGATTTTATCTTCGTTTTCTACGAATACTCTTTATGATAAACATAGCATATTTATTATCGTGACTACTCTGTAAATATTATACTCTTTATTTTTGTATTAAAATAAATCCTAGACCAACTTAGGGATCAGCGTTTTATTATGATAATTTAACTGCAAATACAATTTGATTGATCTGAGTGGTAAGAACAGCCTATGGACATTAGGGTCTTTTGAAATACAGTTTTTCAAGCCTTTCGAGTCCAACGGCTAATATTCCCATCAATATATTATTTTGTGAACTATCTGATTATACCGTTCATATCAAGAACATTCGTTCACTGCTATGTTATCTGTAATGTGTGATTTGAATTGGCGAAAAAACAAAAAATCGTAGAATGCGAAAGCGTCTATAAACTGTGAATGATCTCAGCGTTTATTTTTTTCACAGATGTGCCTTGATACACAATATTAGTTTGAGGTTCTCCACAGTTGCACTTGCCAAA